AGGAGGAGGAAGAAGAAGAAGAAGAAGAAGAAGAAGAAGAAGAAGAAGAAGAAGAGGAAGAGGAAGGAGGAGAAGGAGAAGAAGGAGAAGAAGAAGGAGAAGGAGAAGGAGAAGGAGAAGGAGAAGGAGAAGGAGAAGGAGAAGGAGGAGGAGAAGAAGGAGAAGAAGAAGAAGAAGAAGAAGAGGAAGGAGGAGGAGGAGGAGGAGAAGAAGAAGAAGGAGAGGAAGAGGAAGAGGAAGGAGGAGAAGGAGGAGGAGAGGAGAGGAGAAGGAAAAGGAGAAGAAGAACAAGAAGAAGAAGAGGAGGAGGAAGAGGAGAAGAAGGAGAAGGAGAAGGAGAGGGAGAAGGGAGAGAGGAGGAGGAAGAAGAAGAAGAAGAAGAAGAAGAAGAAGAAGAAGAAGAAGAAGAAGAAGAAGAAGAAGAAGAAGAAGAAGAAGAAGAAGAAGAAGAAGAAGAAGAAGAAACAACAACAGCAGTAGCAGCTGCCGTGGTTCTACGGAACCGTAAGACCGACAGCCTGCAGCCTTGCTTTCTTTTATTTAAAACTTTTGGATGGTAAACAGTCAACGACGGGGGCGGCAGGGAAAGTGGGAGGAGAGAGAGAGAGAGGGAGGGAGAAACAAAAGACGTCAAGGACGAGACGGAGTGGGGGTGGGTGGGGGTGCTCGGGACTGCGAAGGAAAACCAAAAAAGACCCCTCCTCTTGCTCGATGCGACTTTTTCAAGCGTTTTTTTTCCCCCTACCTTCCTCCCGAGCCGATCGGAGCTCGATGCGGGTTTTCTGCAGGGCTTCCTCCAGCTCCGCCGAGCGGGCTTTCTCCTTCTCCAGAGCCACCTTCAGCTCATTGTACTGCAGAGGAACCTGTGTGGGCAAAGAAGGGTCCTCTTTCCGTCGACTAAACAGGCCCTAGCAACAGAAACACACAGACAGCTCCTAACTCCTGGTCAGTGATGGTTGCCTCCTGGTGGGGGGAAGGGAAAGCTCACTAACTGCAGACCAGAGGGTCTGAGGGCCTCCTCTTCCTCCTCCTCCCTTCCACCTTCTCCCCCTCCTCCTTTCCTCCACTTCTCCCCTCTTTCTCCTCCCCTCCCCTCTTCCTTCTCCCCTCCTCCTCCTCTCCCTCCCTTCTCTCCTCCCCTCTTTCTCCTCCCTCTTCTCTCCCCTCCTCTTCCTTCTTCCCTCCTCCCTTCTTCCACTTCTCCCCTTTCTCCTCCCCTCCCCTCTTCCTCCTCCTTTCCTCCCTTCTTCTCTCCTCCCCTTCCCTCTTCCTCCACTTCTCCCCTCCTTCTCTTCTCCTCTCGTCTTCCTCCTCTCCTCCTCCTTTCCTCCCTTCTTCTCCTCCCCTCTTCCTTCTCTCCTTCCCTCTTCCTTCTTCCCTCCTCTTCCTCCACTTCTCCCCTCCTCCTCTTCTCCCCTCCTTCTCTTCTCCTCCCCTCTTCCTCCTTCTCCTCTCCTCCTCTCTCCTGTCCTTTTCCTTCTCTTCTCCTCCTTTCCTCCCTTCTTCTCTCTTCTTCTTCCTTCTCTCCTCCCCACTTCCTTCTTCCTCCCCTCTTTCTCCTCCCTTCTTCTCCTCCTTCTCCTCTCCTCTCCTCCCCTCCTTCTCCTTTCCTCCTCTCTCCTCCCCTCTTCCTTCTCCCCTCCTCCTCCTCCCCCAATTGCCTGGTCAAGCATTTTAAAGATAATTTCTCCCCCCAGCTTGGTCTCACAGAGATCATCACCCAGGCTCACAAGAAGAGGAAACCGGACAGCCACTTGCCCGGATTAGTACAGTTAGTCCTCAATTTATAACCGCGATTGAGCCCAACCTTTCCGCTGCTAAGCGAGACGGCTGTTAAGTAAGTGTTGCCCCATTTTAGGACCTTTCTAGCTGCAGTTTGCTAAGTGAATCACTGCAGTCGTTCAATGAGTAACCTGGTCGTTAAGCAAATCTGGGCTTCCCCATCGACTTCGCTTGTCAGAAGGTCGCAAAAGCGGATCACGCAGCCCCCCTCCCCTCCCCCGGGGGACAGGGCGACCGTCATAAATACGAGTCCGTTGGCAAGCATCTCAATTTTGATCACGTTACTCTAGGGATGCTGCAACGGTCGTTAAGTGTGAAAAACGGTCATAGGTCACTTTTCCCAGTGGCGTTGTAACTCTGAATGGCCTCTAAGCGACCGGTTGTTAAGTCAAGGACCGCTTGTACACAAGGCAACTACAGAGGCCGGGGTCCAAAGACAAACTTAAGGAGCCTTTGAGGGGGGGGGGGAATCCAGTGGGATTTGGGGGCCATCTGGAAGCCCCCTTCATTCCCCCAGCCTTAGCATTTCGGACAGGGAGCTGCTGCCTCCTGCCTGCTGGTTAATTTTTTTTTTGCGTTCATATATTTTCCACACCTTTTTCTTCTTGGCCGGCTGATCCATCTTCGCTTGGAGGAAATCTATAAGCTTGGTTTGCTGGGAAATAGTGCCTTCCATTTTCACTTTCTCGTGGGAATACAGGACCTTTGCGACACGAAAAAGGGGAGAAAATAAAAAAAACCAGGAATCACCAAAGGTGTCCAAAACAAACCCGAGCCGAAACGTTAAAAAGCGAAATCCGTATAAAATTATTCTCGGGGGCCTGCGCGATGCTTTCTTCTCTCACCTGAATATTTTCCAGCTGGTATTCCAAGTCGCTCCTTTCGGTCTTCAAAAGATCGGCCCGGTCCAAAGCCTCTTGAAGGCCTTGCGTCAGACGGAAGATGTGGTTTTTCTGCAAATCCATCTGCTGCTGCAGCTTGGCTTGCTGGGAAGGAGACAAAAACCCAGGACGGCTATGATAAAATAGTATTCGGAGGCAGGGAGGGAGGGAGGATTAAGAGAAAGACAGAAAGGAAAAGGATTGAAAGAGAGATGATAAAACTGGGAGGGAGGAAGGGAGGGAGGAGATGAGATAGGGAAAAAGAGAAGGAAGGAAAGTCTGGAGTTGAGGGAGAGAGGGAGGAAGGGAGGGAGGGAGGAAGACAGAAAGGAGAAGGATTGAAAGAGAGATTATAAGGAAGAGAGGGAGGGAGGAAGGAGATGAGTTAGGGAAAAAGAAGGAAGGAAAGTCTGGAGTTTAAGAAGAAAATAGGGAGGGAGGGAGGGAGGAAGGAAGGAAGGAAGACAGAAAGGAGAAGAATTGAAAGAGAGATTATAAAAGAGGAAGGAAGACAGAAAGGAGAAGGATTGAAAGAGAGATTATAAGGGAGGAAGGGAGGGAGGGAGGAAGGAAGGAGATGAGATAGGGAAAAAGAGAAGGAAGGAAAGTCTGGAGCTTAAGAAGAAAATAGGGAGGGAGGGAGGGAAGGAGGAAGGAAGAAAGACAGAAAAGAGAAGAATTGAAAGAGAGATAGGAAGGAAGGAAGGAAGGAAGGAAGGAAGGAAGGAAGGAAGGAAGGAAGGAAGGAAAAGAATTAAAAGAGAGATTATAAGGGAGGGAGGGAGGAAGGAGAATTGAAAGTGATAAAGATAACCATTATAAGGAAGGAAGGAAGAAGAATTGAAAGAGATAAAGAGAAAGTTTATAAGGGAGGAAGGAAGGAGAATTAAAAGTGATCAAGATAACAATTATAAAGAAGGAAGGAAGGAAGGAAGAAGAATTGAAAGAGTTGAAGCGAAAGTTTATAAGGGAGGGAGGGAAGAAGGAAGGAAGGAAGGAAGACAGAAAGGAGGAATTGAAAGAGATAAAGTTTATAAGGGAGGGAGGGAAGGATGGAAAGAAAGGTGAGAAAGACAGAAAGGAGGAGATTTGAAAGTAACAATTTCAAACAATTATAAGAGAGGGAGGGAGGGAGGGGCCATATTTTGGGGTTATATCAAAATTTAAACTAATATTTCCCAACTTCGGCAACTTTAAGATGTGCAGACTCCTATCCCTCCGTCCGCAGGAGTCTGCGCCTCTCAAAGCTGCCAATTTGAAAACCAGCAATTTAAACCCCCAGCTGGTAAGATAATGATTCCAGGAGGAATTCAAATCCAGTTTGCCAGTTTCAATCTTGCAGAAAGGAGTCACGGTCTTTCGGGTAGGGAGCAGGAGACTTTACCTCTTCCAGAAGCCTCTGTTTGAGTTCGCGTTCCGTTTCAAGCTTCTGCTGTAAGCTCCGGGCATTCATCTCCAGCATGGCGTGCTTCTTCTCCAAGTCATTCAGCTAGTTAGGACAGGGAAGGGGACGGGCTCAACAGACGCTGGCATGAAAAGCCAATCTTTTCTGAATCTACTCGTCTCTCTCTCTCTCCACCCCCCATTTTCTAAATCCTTTTTTTTTTTTAATTAGATTTATATGCTCCCCTTCTCCGGAGACTCGGGGCGGCTTACAATGCGTTAAACAACAGCCTTCATACTTTTGTATATTTATACAAAGTCAGCTTATTGCCCTCACAAACTGGGTCCTCAATTTACCTACCTTAGAAAGGATGGAAGGCTGAGTCAACCTTGAGCCTGGTGAGATTCGAACTTGCAGTAATTGCAGGCAGCAGATGTTAATAACAGTGCTTTAGTCCACTGTACTACAGGCTCTTGATTTACAACAATAATCCTTGACTTACAACAATATTTATTTATTTATTTTTATTTATTTTATTTTATTTCTATCCCGCCCTTCTCCTGCGGGACTCAGGGCGGTGTACAGCCAAGATAAAACATTGCATATAAAATTTAAAAACAATTTAAAAAACAATTAAATAATTTCGGCCCAAGATATTAAAAACAACCCAATTAAAACCGAATTCAATTAAAACTGGGAGGATGGGATCAAGCCAGCCCGGCTAGATGGAATAGGTGTGTTTTCAGGGCCCGACGAAAAGTCCGGAGGTCTGGTATCATGCGTATCTCAGGGGGCAGGTCATTCCAGAGGACGGGTGCTGCCACAGAGAAGGCTCTCCCCCTGGGGGTCGCCAGCCGACACTGTTTGGCCGACGGCACCCTGAGGAGGCCCTCTCTGTGCGAGCGAACTTATTCTCTGGCTGTGTTGCCTTTGTGCCACACCCCAGGTCATCACAAAAAGAAACCGAGCTTTCTGGGACAACATCAGCCAATACAAGCAGTCCTTGACTTACAACCACAATTGAGCCCCAAATTTCTGTGGCTAAGCGAGACAGTTGTTAAGTAAGTTTTGCCCCATTTTACCACCTCTCTCCACAAGGTTGTTAAGCGAATCGCTGCATTCGTTAAGTTAGTCACACAATGGTTAAGTGAATCTGGCTAAGCGACCGACCTTGTCAGAGAGACTCTCAGCTTTCAGCTTCTGTTCCTTTAATGCTTGCTGGAGAGCCAAGATCTCCGCTTTATGTTCTTTCACCGCGAGCTCCACGACTTGGCGGGATTCCGTGATTCGCTGGTCGGCTCGCACCCTGGATGAAAGAGAATAAGCACCGACTTTATACCACTCGTGCGGTCTGCTTCCCTTCCAGGATCCCAAGAAGGATGGAATCAGTAGGAAAGGAGTTTGCAGAGAGCCAAACCCTTTCTTTTGAAGGCCAGAAAGCCATCATTTGATAGGATAGCTAGATGATGATAGCTAGATTAATAGAGAGATAGATAGAGATGATAGATAGATTAACAGGTGATAGATAGATGATAGATAATTAATAGGTGATAATAGACGATAGATGATAGATAGATAGATGATAGATAGATAAATAGGTAATATAGATGATAGATAAATAGGTGATAGATAGATAGACGATAGATGATAGATAGATGATAGATAGGTAGATATAGGTGATAGATAGATGATAGATAGATAGATGATAGAGAGATAGAGAGATGATAGATAAATGGGTGATAGATGATAGAGAGATGATGGATAGAGAGATAAATAGGTGATAGATGATAGATAGAGAGATGATAGATAGATTAAAGGTGATAGATAGACGATAGATGATAGAGATAGATAGATAGATAGATAGATAGAGAGATAGAGAGATAGATAGATGATAGAAGATAGAGAGATAGATAGATAAATGGGTGATAGATGATAGAGAGATATGATAGAGAGATAAATAGGTGATAGATGATAGATAGAGAGATGATAGATAGATTAGGTGATAGAGACGATAGATGATAGATAGATAGATAGATAGATAGATAGATAGAGATAGATGATAGAGAGATGATAGATAAATGGGTGATAGATGATAGAGAGATATGATAGAGAGATAAATAGATAGATGATAGATAGATAGATAGATAGATAGAGATAGATAGATAGATAGGATGGATGGATGGACAGACAGACAAACAACTGATAGCTGATAGATAATCTTTGTTACCTGCTCTCAAAAGTGTACACATGCATAATAACATGCACATTCACATGCTATGTACATACATATATACCTGCCGTGTTTCCCCAAAAAATAAGACCCTGTCTTATATTTTTTTGAACCCTGAAATAAGCGCTTGGCCTTATTGCCATGCGCTCCAAAGGCCGGTTGGGCTTATTATCAGGGGATGTCTTATTTTGGGGAAAACAGGGTATGCCCTTTAATATATAAATACATATAAATATTAATCACTGTCCATCCTGAATACATAGCGGGAAGAGGAAACTTGAGAGTTCATCAGGCTGATGCTATACCGAACAAAGCAGTGCCCGACTTTGGATGTTCAGCTTCGGATACCACGAAGACCCCTCCCAGAAGGAAAACAGGTCATGAAGAGGATGTGTAGCGTCCCACACAATCCTGGGGACCCTGCTCAAGCATCACTTATATGCCACATCCTGGATAGAAGGAAGTGAACTCCCAATAATATTTTCTGCTGTCCTCACCACTCTCTCGTACAGCCTTCCTGTCTGTCCGAAGCAGTAATGCTTCCAAACCAGACTGTAGTGCAATATGACAAGAGGCTCTCCAACGTTCCCTTTATATATAAAAAAGTGGTTAAGTGGCAATTCAAGTGCTTCTTCCTAGGTTTCCTACATCTTATCCACACCTGCTCTCTGCTGAACGAGAACCAAGTTGGCACCGTGAGAATCCGGAAGAAAAATGAGGGCCAGATGGCGTCGGTTATATGAAGGAGGCTGGCAAATAGCCAATCCCTGTATCCCGACGTCATGCTCTTGCATAAAGTTCTGTATATAGCCTATATATGTTAATCAAGAGCCCAAGAATAAACGGGTTTAGAAAGCGAGGCTGCAACAGCCTGGCTTCCTGAAACTCTTTAAAACCTTTTCCCCGTTCCCCCCGTCCATGTTTCCTTTCTGAAAAAGCGACCGGAAAAATACTACGCTGTAAATTCATCTTGAGAAGAGATACTTCGTTTAAAACAGGGGTGTCAAAACTCAAGGCATGGGGGCCAGATCCGGCCCGCGGTTCCTCTGCCAGTTGAAACGGAGCTCAGGGGAGGTGGGGGGGGTGGAGATGCAGCCCCCCAGGCCCCGTTTTTGCTGGCGGAGGGCTAGCAAAACAAACTAAAAACAAAACAAAAGGAGAAATGTTTCCCCTTTTGCATTTGAGCACGCAAGAAGGGACAGGGAAGGAGAAAAGGGAAAGACGAAGAAAAAGAAGGGAAGGTGGGAAGAGAGCAAGAAAGGAAAAATAAGGAGGTGGGAAGGAAGAAGAAAGAAGAACGAAGAAGGGTAGAAAAAGAAGAGAAGGAAGGAAGGAGGGAGGGAGGGAAGGGAAGGGAAGGAAAAGGAGGAGGAGGGGAAGGGAAGGGAAGGAAAGGAAAGGAAAGGAAAGGAAAAAGAGAAAGGGGGAAGGAAAGGAAAGGAAAGGAAAGGAAAGGAAAAGGAGGAGGAGGGGAAGGGAAGGGAAGGGAAGGGAAGGGAAGGGAAGGAAATAATTAGAATGAGGGAGGGTCTGAGGGAAATCCTGGCTTAGCACTTGGCCACCCCAGGTGCCACTCAACACAAGTGATGCCCACTCTGGCCACGCCCCCCTCCCGCCCTCCCCGAGGTCAAACACATGATGATGTTACTTTGCTGGGTAATGAAACGTCTGCAAGAAAACCACCAAGCTCAGAGAGCGCCAAGGACCCCTCGTTTCAACCCTGAGCTACAGATGTTCTCCTTTATTGAATTCACCGTCTTCCAGAGGTTCTCGTGGATTTTTTTAACATCCTGTTTTTCAACCCCCCTTCCTTTTCCACCGTTTTGCGTTTACCCAAACCCCAAACCGAAGAGAACGCGTACCTGCTCTGCTTCTCCGTATCCAACATCCTCTGGAGTTCCCGCACCCGGCACTCAAACTGGGTCTTCTCGTCTCCCAGAACACTTCTCCACGCCTCCCACTGGCGCTCCTTCTCCAAGAGCTCGTCGTTCAGAGCCTCCAGATCCATCACTTGCTCCTCCAGCATAGTACAGGTGGTCTTTAAGGCCTCCATGGTCTAAAAAGAAATCCCCAGCAGATTTTTTTTTTTTTTTCCTCCCCTGTGAAGTTCAGCTCGAGAGCATAACCATCACCTCCTTTTAATGAGTGGAGTCTGGGCAACTGAATGGAGCTGAGGGTTTACTGGCCGGATGCGCTTCCTGTCGCCAGTACGGAGTTATAATCAGCAGATACATTCTCATGTGCTGAGAGAGAGAAATATCTGTCTCTACCAGGGATCGAACTCACAACCTCCCGATTGTGAGGCAAGCGCTCCATGGCTAGGCCACCGCACCACTCAGCATTAAGGCTTATATCTTCTTTTAAAGACCCCATAATCCCTTGCGGGGTGGAGACTGGCCAACTGAATGGAGCTAGCCGAGTGTTTACTGGCCGGATGCCCTCCCTGTTGCCAATGCAGAGTTTTATTCAGCAGATATATTCTCATTGGGCCGAGAGAGAGAAATATCTGTCTCTACCTAGGATTGAACTCACAGCCTCCTGACTGTGAGATGAGTGCTGCCACCGCACCGCTCATAATCGAGAGCATAATCCTCGTCTAAAATAAAGCTCCTTTAGATTCCTTGCCAAGAGGTTCTTAACATTTACTGAACCTCTTCAAGGAAAGAGGCATATGATGGCACGGTTCTGGGTAGTGCATGTTAGATAGGAGAGGGGAACAGCAGAAGAATCTGAGGCAGGGTTTCCAAGGCCATAAAATGGGGAAGAATCAACCAGATGCAGTGGTTTATACCGCCTGTTCTCAGACCAAGTCAATAGAATAGAAAGAATAGAATGGAATGGAATAGAATGGAATGGAATAGGAATAGGAATAGAGAAAAGAGAATAGAGAATAGAATAGAATAGTATAGAATAGAATAGAATAAGAAACCAGAATAGAATAGAATAGAACAGAATAAGAAATCAATAGAATAGAATAGAATAGAATAGAATAGAATAGAATAGAATAGAATAAAAATCAGAATAGAAGAGAAGAGAAATATGAAATAGAATAAGAAACCAGAATAGAATGGAATAAAATGGAATGGAATGGAATACAATGAAATAGGAATAAGAATAGGAATAGGGAATAGGAAATTAGAATAGAATAGAATAGAATAGAATAGAATAGAATAGAATAGAATAGAATAGAATAGAATAGAGATTGGAATAAGAATAGAATGGAATGGAATGGAATGGAATGGAATGGAATAGAATAGAGATTGGAATAAGAATGGAATGGAATGGAATGGAATAGAATAAAATAGAAGAGAAGAGAAGAGAAGAGAAGAGAAGAGAAGAGAAGAGAAGAGAAGAGAAGAGAAGAGAAGAGAAGAGAAGAGAAGAGAAGAGAAGAGAAGAGAAATATGAAATAGAATAAGAAACCAGAATAGAATGGAATGGAATGGAATGGAATACAATGAAATAGGAATAAGAATAGGAATAGGAATAGGAATAGGAATAGGAATAGGGAATCGAATCGAATCAAATCGAATCGAATAGAACAGAACAGAATAGGAATAAGAATGGAATGGAATGGAATGGAATGGAATGGAATGGAATGGAATGGAATGGAATAGAATAGAATAGAATAGAATAGAATAGAATAGAATAGAATAGAACAGAAGAGTTGGAAGGGACCTTGGAGGTCTTCTAGTCCAACCTCCTGCTTAGGCAGGAAACCCTACAGCACTTCAGACAAATGGTTGTCCAATCTCTTCTTAAAAACTTCCAGTGTTGGAGCCTTCACAACTTCTGGAGGCAAGTTGTTCCACTGGTGAATTGTTCTAACATCTAATATGTATTTAGTCGGATGGTTGAACGAGCCTTTGCAAACTGAAACGGGGAGGACTTACTTGCTTTTGACTGGTGAGCTGCATCTCCCGTTCCGTTATCTCACGACGGAGATGGTCAACCTCGCTCCGCAACTGAATCACCTCGTTGTTCGCCCCCGAAGCTTCGTCTAACTGCTTGGAGAGGAAGAAGTTCTGGTTGTTCAGCTCAGCGTTATCCTCGGTCAGCTGGTTTAACTGCTCTTCTAAATCCGTAATCACCTACACGAAAAGAACAACAACACACCGGGGAGGGGAAAAAAAAAAAACAGAAAACAAATCTAAGAAAACAGGCGGAGAACTTAAAAGCCGACGAGTCTTCCGACAGCCAACTTCCAAACTTCATCAAATGGCGTTCTGGAAGGTTGTTTTTTTTTTTATCATGCAGCTTTGCAAAAACGGCACATGCTTGAGGCTTAAACCCATGCCCGGATTCAAGATCTGCTGTCCATTGTTATGTGTTAAGATGCACCCGATATTAAGAGGTTTACTTTTCATGCTACGGCCTCGGGTTGGGAGAATGCAAGAGCAGCAAGCAACTGGCAGCCCGTGATTGTTTGGCCAGATCTGCAGATGTTCGAACCGCAGTATAAAGCAAATGGATTTATGTTTCCCAACCTGATGTTCTCCTCACTGTGGACCACAGACGCTAAGCTCCGTAAGAAGGATACTGACGATGTGTGGAGAGGCAGATTACCTGTTAGGTGACTCTTTTTGAGATTATTTCAACAAGAGAGGAAAACCAGGGTGTTGTGAACTGTTGGATACCGGCCCTTCCAGCAGCCGAATCAGAGGAGGAGGAGGAGGAGGGGGCGTGGGAGTTAGGGTCAGCATCAAGGCAACCTGAGAGCTCCGAGGGGGAAGAGGGAATGGAGCTGTGAGAGACAGACAGAGGTGGGCCGTCTGTCAGCCCTCAGATGGAGAGTCAACAGCCCCCAGGTCTGGAGGTGGCTGATGAGGAGGAGGAGGAGGAACAGCTGGGTCCAGTGCCTGACGCGCAGATGCACAGAAGGCAGAGGAGAGGAGAGCAGTGGAAATCTATGGGCCGGTCCTCGGGACGGAAGAGCCACCGGTGCTAGCGAAGCTCTGGGGATAAAAGGCAGGGGGCGGAGATGAATAGATGCGGCAGACAACTATTCATCTCCCTGCCGGCCGGACATGTTAGCCTGCGGTGAGAGAGAAACGTTTTGCCGGGGCTGCCGGCGCTCCTAATCAAGGAATCTTTGAGTTCACTACAGAGGGTTTGTCGTGTTTGAGGAGCTGGGTCAGAACACAGGGTGTTGCCAACAGCTAACCGGCCGCCCTCTCCCATTTAGGGTTCACCTTGGGGTGACATATGACAAGTGCCCGTCATTCATACACATTTTAGAGAGGCAAAGCTAATATAAGCGCTTCAGTGAGAGGCAGACACAGTATCAGGCGACAATGCTTTTGCGAAGCAAAGAAAGCTGGGGTTCATTAAAGCAAATGGGGGTGAAGATGAAGTGCTTCGGCCCACCTCAGATGTTTTGAACGCTGCTGGATAAACCAAACCGGTCAGAAAATGGAGGCAAACGACTGGACGAAGACATACAGGCTGAAGCGCGAAACCCACAATTTTGGAAGGAAATTGTGCTTCCAGACAACGCTCGACTGAGCCAACTAATAACAAAATCACTCCGTCAAAAGTTGTCCTAACGCACACAACTTGGCACTCACGGTTGTGACTCCCCACCAATGGCGATGTCTCCGTTTTCTTCCCAACAACAGAGGAAGAATCGACACGAGGAATAAAGCGATGTGAATAGGAATCAACGCAAATGTCACACAGCCATTAAAAAAAAACATCCTGACGACGTGGCTCCCGTGCTTAGATATTGCCCACCTTAAGAGCATCTTCTCTTGGTTCATTGCATCTAGAAGGTTCCATTTTTTTGAAATTTTTTGGTTTCTTGGTTCAGCTGCGTGGGGAGGCGGACAGGAAGGGAGAGAACTATTTCTTGCCCTTTGATAAATATATAAAGCTAACAAGAATCTACAAGGGACGCGGTAGCTCAGCGGCTAAGACGCCGAGCTTGTCGATCGAAAGGTCGGCAGTTCAGCGGTTTGAATCCCTAGCGCCGGATAATGGGATGAGCTCACGTTACTTGTCCCAGCTTCTGCCAACCTAGCAGTTCAAAAGCACATTAAAAAAAATGGAAGTAGAAAAATAGGGACCACCTTTAGCGGGAAGGTAACAGCGTTCCGTGCACCTTTGGCGTTGAGTCATGCCGGCCACAGGACCACGGAGACATCTTCGGACAGCGGCTTAGAAACGGAGATGAGCACTGCCCCCTAGAGTCGGGAACGACTAGCACAGATGTGCGAGGGGAACCTTTAACAAGCATCTCCTAACAGGTGGGTTGGAGACAATAGAAAGATGGACCACAAGGAGACCACCAAGGCGGCCATCTTTCAAGCTTGAAGTTCTGAGAACTTCCTCATCCGTTTGAAGGGAAGGATTGTGAAAGCAGCAACATTGAGCTGCAGGATCTGGGATACCACAAAAGAGGCTCTTTGCTCAAGGGACAATCTTCCTTTTCAATGCATTGGGGGAAAAAAAACTTTTCAAGTTAGAATTCAGAAAGACAAAAGAGTACTCGGCTCCAGGTTTCTCTCTCCTGTTTCCTTTCTACGGGATGAAATTAACATTTATGGTCGTTTTTCCCTCCTTCCTACTCTTCCTAGATATACCAGTTAATTGCCATTATCTTGAAATGTATAGATGGGGAGACTGAAACTCTTCCCTCCTGGTTGTTGGCGGTTGACTTACAGATTGATATTATAATTCTGAAATACCCTGTTCTCCCTAAAGTAAAACATCCGATGATAATAAGCCCAATCGGGCTTTTGAGCGCATGTGCTAAAATAAGGCCCCCACTCCCGAAAATAAGCCCTCCCTGAAAATATTTAAATTCATGCGCAGACGGTCCCCGCCATTTCCTCTTGTTAGGGTTAGGGAGACAGAGCTGGAAATCAGGTAAGACAGCAAGAGAAGCCCCGTCTCGCTCCACGCGCCCCAAAATAATAAGACCTCCCCGAAAATAAGCTCAAGCCCTTATTTCGGGGTTCAAAAAAATATAAGACAGGGTCTCGTTTTCGGGGAAACACGGTAAGTGCTATAAGTAAGTAAGTAAATAAATAAAATTGAAATGTGGCTAACGCAGAAATGCATTGTGATTTCCACCGCCCCCCCCAACTATTCCTTGTTTAAATCCATTGATACACATATCCCTTCTATACAAGGATGCAGGTATGACTAAACGCTAGGAGTAGCTTCTCGTATCGGTCGGAAACGAACAATGCCTGCAAAAAAAAATAATAATATCGAACGCCTAACACGTTCGAATTTCAATTTACTAGTAAGAGAGACAACAGACGCGAGGACATAAATAAGAAAATAGGTTTCTCGCCCTCACCCCCCCATGCTACAAGGTGGTTATAAAACTTGGTACAACACTCGAGGTTACCGTGGTAACTCAGATAGGCGGATAGACCAATCGGTATAGTTATTTAGTCATTTCAAACAAATCGCTTTTGCTTATATTTCCAGAGACACGTGGGCCTCCGAAGAGCAGGGGCCGGAGGCAAAAAGCAGGAATATACAGAATTATCATCCTTTTGATCAGCTTAGAAAAACATTTGGATGGAGGCGCCTGGAGGCAAACCATACAGGCAGAAGTTATAGCCTAATCCAGCAAGCGTAGATGGTTAGCGTAACACATCTGTTTGTCTTAATGCATCTTCTATGACAGTGATGGCAAACCTTTTCGGCACCGAGTGCCCAAACCGGAAACCCGAAAACCAGCTGGCCGTTTTCGGGACCGTTTTCAGGGCATTTTTCAGGACGCTTTTGTTGTGACCCAGGCCCAAGTAGTTTAGTATTAAATGCAAACAGTTCGAAAACAAACAGACTTTATTAGAACAGCTGAGAATTAACTCATTCTCAGCGTAGTCCAAACTAAATTAAAGCAAATTCTTCAAAACACCATCCCTCCGTTTATCACCGACCTTGGGATAATTAGGCAAACTGCCAAAGGCTTTTCTTGGCAAAAGTTCAGGAGAAGATGCCGACAAGAAATGAATACAGTGAAACAAGAAGCAAATTCTCTCAACGTTGTTTTCCGGCAAAGAGGCCAAGAGCCATTGCTGGTCTTTTAAGCCTTATGGGAGGGGCCAATCATCTCTTGGCCTTACTCCCAAGTCGTCCTTTTTGCTTCAGCTGCTCCTGCCTTCTGGCAGCTCTTCTCATACGTGCACTAGGAACAGGCTCCTCCTGCTCCTCTGCCTCTCTACTGTCAGCCTCTGGAGGCTCTGGAGTCTGTACATCAGTCCCTGATAGCCCTGGCCCCATCTCTGCCTCCGACGCAGAGCCCTCATCCGGGCCTTCCCCAGCCTCCAGGACTGGCCCATGTTCTTCCTCAGCCTCATCGCTGTCCGACTCCACTGCCAGCTCCGCAGGCTGCTGGCAGACTGCAACAGTTTGGGGGGCGTTTTTCGGGCCAAAAACAACCTGAAAAATGGCCTGAAAAACAGGCCAGGAGACAGCCTGAAAAACAACCCAAAAAACAGCCTGTTTTGGGGCCGTTTTCTGGGCCATTTCAAGATCTTTTTCCGGCACTCTGGTGCCTGCAAAGACCAGCTGGCCGGCGCGCCAGAAATGAGAAGATCAGCTGGCGATGGTGCGCGTGCCCACAGAGAGGGCTCTGTGTGCCACCTCTGGCACGTGTGCCATAGGTTCGCCACCACGGTTCTATGATGTACAGTTATTCCTTGACTTACAACTGCTCGTTTAGTGACCGTTCCAAGTTACGACGGCACTGGGGGAAAAAGTGACTTGGAACCCTTTTTCACATTTACGACCGTTGCCCTCTCCCCACGGTCACCAGGTTGTATGTTGAGGGCTGCCTGTAATTGCTTGCCGTCTCTCCACTTCACCATGAGAAGCAAATGTTTAAGAAAAAAAAATCTTCACCCTTAACAGGAAACCCACCTTCTGACTTCATCCCGAAGCGATTTTTGTTCAGAAATCCATCTCGCAAGCCAAAGATATTGTATTTTTAGCATTCGCCCCAAGCGTCTGATCTTTGCATGCCTTTTAGGAGGAACACAGAAGGAACTGCTGAAATGTTCTCTTAAGAGCTTCTGGAGGCTAATGCTGACATAGCTATTGTTGTGGTCTGTTGGCCGCCGGCCCTTCCAACAGCCGAATCAGAGGAGGAGGAGGAGGGGTGGGAGTCAGGGTCAGCATCAGGGCCACCTGGGACCTCCGTGGGGGAAGAGGGAATGGAGCTATCAGAGAGAGAGAGAGATAGTGGCGGAGCCTGGGCCGTCCGTCAGCCCTCAGATGGAGAGTCAACAGCCCCCAGGTCTGGAAGTGGCTGATGAGGAAGAGGAGGAACAGCTGGGTCCCGTGCCTGATGTGTGGATGTGCAGAAGGCAGAGGAGAGGAGAGCAGGGGAAATCTATTGGCCGGTCCTTGGGACGGAAGCTACCGCTGCTAGCGAAGCCCCACCCCAGCTGTAGGGATAAAAGGCAGGGTATTCCAAGCGTGGCCTTACCAAGGCATTATTAAGTGGTATTATTAACACTTCACGTGATCTTGATTCTATCCCTCGGTTTATGCTGGGGATAGAACTGTGTTGGCTTTTTTGGCAGCTGATTCAGCTCACGCGGTGCTGCCTTCTGCCATCTTTGGTCAATTGGTGGCGAGGTGTGAAAGATTTTAAGAGGCTACAGGATTTCTGAAATGAATTTGGTGGAAGAGGAAAAACAGGCAAGGCAGGAGCAGAGACCAAGGAACGGGAGGATTTAGGCAGAAGAATCTCTTGCCAAAAAAAAAGAAAGAAAAGAAAATTTATTTGCCTTGATCTTTGGCAGGTGGGCTGTTCCTTACTTGGGGAAACAGGATAGAATTCAAGAGATCTAAGGCAACATGTTTATTCTATCTATCTATCTATATATACAATGCAATCATGTTTTCATGAATCACGTCCCAGCCAGCATCCTTACGAGCCATAAATACCCTTGGCTGGCCATGTTTAGCATAATATTTCGGCTAAGAATAACAGCAGGCGCCTCCACCCTCCTGTTCTCTGTCAAGATATATCACCAAGAGAGCAAAAATTCGTCCTGTCTTGAGTTGCAAGTTGCGGCAATAAACCAGCGAGGGGTTTAATGAAAAAGACACTCTTTTCATTAAAGGAAAGCAAAACACCGTGGTTTGGGGGAAACGGTGCCGAACCAGAACCAGGGCTTCCCAGGAAGAAAAGCACCAAGATCGAAGGCCCACCGGAAAAAGAAAAACCGTTCAAGGTTGGGTCAACGAGTTTGCCGTAACGGCTATTTTAGCTCTCCAGATTGACTTCCTTGAGTGTCTTTTACATCCTCCTCCAAGCTATTTCTGAATTTAGCAACCAGTCTGCAGCCTGACTATTAATACACTAGAGCAGTGATGGCTAACCTTTTTGCCATCGCGTGCCAAGAAGGGGGGGGGGGCAGGGGAGGTTCGGACATGCGCATGCCCACACGCATAATTCTATGTGCCCCGCCCTGCGCATATGCGCGCAACCTCGCCCTCCTTTCCAGGCCCTCCGGAGGCTTTCTAGGAGTCTCTGGAGGCTGGGGACAGCAAAAAAGGCACTTCCTGTCCAACCGGGAGTTGTGAAATGGGCCGTTTCAGCCTTCCGGAGGGCCTCCGAGGGGATGGGGAAGGCTGTTTTTGCCCTCCCCAGATGCATAGAGAGGTTCTGGAGCCAGGTGAGAAAGAAAAACGGGCCTTCCCCATTCCACCCCAGGCCCTCCAGAGGCAGGAAACACCTTGTTTCCCTACTTCTGGTGAACCCAGAATGATTTATTTTTTTTAAAATTTGATTTATATGCCGCCCTTCTCCGGAGACTCAGGGAGGCTTACAATGCGTTAAGCAATAGCCTTCATACTTTTGTATATTTTATACAAAGTCAGCTAATTGCCCCCACAAACTGGGTCCTCATTTCCACCCATTGCTTCTTGTTCTACCCTCAGGTGCTTTGGAGAATAGCTTGACTCCCTCTTCTTTGGGGCAGCCCCTGAGATATCGGAAGTTGCTATCATGTCTCCCCTAGTCCTTCTTTTCGTTAAACCAGACAAACCCAATTCCAGCAACCGTTCATCATATGTTTTAGCCTCCAATCCTCCCCTAATCCTCTTGGTTGCTCTTCTCTGCACTCTTTCTAGAGTCTCCACATCTTTTTGACATTGTGGCGACCAAAACTGGATGCCGTATTCCAAGTGTGGCCTTACCAAGGCCTTATAAAGCGGTATTAACACTTCACGTGATCTTGATTCTACTCCTCTAAACTCAAGAACAGATTTGTGATTTGTGCACCCAGGAGGCCCAATCTTTGCAGTGAATTCTTGGGCCTCGTTCTTTTTCCAGGAACTTACTTTTAAGGAGTTACAAACAGCAAGTAGGAAGAGGAACAACTTCTTCAAGAAGCAACTGGGCATCATCGGTTCCAAAAACCACCAAATGGACGACGGCTTTGGAAGCACGCAGGACTTCCCATCTTAAAATTACGTGTCATTTTTTTATTATTTTTTTTAAAACGTTTTCTGCCCCAACTTCAAAAACATCCACCTGAACTCAGCCGCTACTGAACCAAACCGGCCAACGCGCATTTTTTTAACGCCGTCAGCTTCCCTTGCCCCGGTGGAGGGTTTGTTTTTTTTGTCTCATTGCAAAACGCTTCTTTCGAGGCCCCCCCTCACCGTTCGTTTCGTGGGCGCGAGATCCGGCATGCGTTGCTCCGCATGCAAGATTGCAGCATTGAGAGATGGCGAGGGTCTCGCTCAAGGTGCCAATGGCAGGGAAAGGAAAAGTGGAGGAGAGCGTTTGCATGCATGATTTGGGGATGGGGGAGGGGGGGAAAGGTAGGGCAGAGAGGCACCTAAGGGTGGCTCGGTGTTTTCCATCCAAGGGGAACCTGCGGCAAAGGATGCAGGGAGGCAGCCGTGCATGCAGCCATTCCCCCAGCTTGCAGCCAAAACGCAACCAGCTCGCGTCGCAATTCCAAAAGCGACGGTCACAAAATGCTCAAAACGGGAGGTTGGGTTGCTCCCAGTTCAATCCGCAGGGTGAGGGAGTGTCATCTTAAAGAGACATCGAGGCTGGCTGGGTGCCCGAGCGTACGAGCTATTTCCCACCGTCTGGGAAATGTCAGATCATATACCCATCGTTTGTGGCAGCTGCTTAAACCATTCTTATTAGCTGCACTGAAATGAGATTTTATTTTTTATTTTTTTTCCAATTTGTTTTCGCGAGGTTTTGAAGTGGCCAACGCCAGATCGAAGGCTTCAAAGCTCCAGAGTGGATAATATTTTTTTTCTCTTTTTCTGGAGATCTCAAGTAAGAATTCACATCAGTCTTGGTTCTGCTAGCTCGGGGGAAAGCCCAAGGACCCCTTTCGAAGCCTTTGACTTTCCAAGGAGCAGACAGAGCGTGGACCGCTTCCCTTCCTCATCCTCTGATTTCAAAATAATTCAAGGGTCTCGGTGGAATACTCACTGTGCAGCTATTACGAAGGGCTTCGAATTTACGCTGGATTTCATCTCTATGTGCCTAAAGGAGGTAAGAATTTGATCATCAATGTTTGCACACATCAGAGGCAGCATCCAACAGCTCTTGCTCAATGAACTATAGAACAATCTACCAGCAAGCAAAAGGTTTAGGGTTAGGGAAGATCCTGCAGGTTGTTAGTCCTGGCTGGGCAAAAACTACAACAACAACCCAGCGGTGTCGGCCTCAGCCATCTTCTGCACCTGGAAGCTAAAGCTTCAACTGTATCTAAAGCAGTGTTTCTCAACCTTGGTAGCTTGAAGATGGGTGGACTTCAACTCCCAGAATCCCCCAGCCAGCAACGCTGGCTGGGGGATTCTGGGAGTTGAAGTCCACCCATCTTCAAGCTTCCAAGGTTAAGAAACACTGATCTAAAGGGAGATCCTATGGAGATTCTCGGTCATCCAGGTCCTGGTTCTCCCAAAGGTTTTTTTTTCCAAAAGCAAAGTGGACTTTTTCCTTGAAGACGTTTCGCTTCGCATCCAAGAAGCTTCTTCGGGTTCTGACGAAATGATGGGAGGACGGATGGATTTACATTCCTGGCGGTCATCTGGCCGTCAGTGATTAACGGTCGTGAAGGAGTAGATTCTGGGTTAACCGCCAGATGCCTGCAAAAGGAATATAAATCCTTCCATCCTCCCACCATTCAGTCAGAACCGAAGAAGCTTCTTAAAGCGAAACATCTTCAAGGAAAAACCAAGAAAAAGTCCAAAAGCTGCCTTTTGAAAAAAATACCCTTTGGGACTTCATAAAATTAAAGGTTGGTGCTGTGAAATAACCAAGTTATATGCTTGCCTGTCCAAAGATATTTGTTAGAAGGGCAAGCAGAGCCGGGAAAAAGGGGGGGGGGAATCAAACAAGTCATCAGCCTAGAATCGTTATGTTCCCACAAACAGTCTAAGTCCACCCCCTCTGAACTTAGACTTACCGTATTTTTCGGAGTATAATCAAAAGGTATTAGGGACAATAAATACATCCGACAGATGAATTAAGTATCGTCAGGCACAAAGAATCAAGATCGTACTGCGGTTGAGAAGATTGATTGCTTGAGCCTACAGCGCAAGAATTGGGACAACTGACATTCAGCACTAAATTGGCGCTAGATAAGAGTTAACAGAATTAACTACCGTATTTTTCGGAGTATAAGACGCTCCGGACTATAAAGACGCACCTACCTTTTTTGGTGAGGAAAACAAGGAAAAGAAATCTGCCTCTGCCTCCCAGCAATTTTGCCTCCTTGCAGCAAACAGCAAATAGCCTGCTTTACTTTCATTTTCATTTTCAGCATAGCTTGATTAGCACAAGGAAAAAAAAAATCTGCTCCCAGCAATTTACCTCCTTGCAGCAAGCAGCAGAGGCCCGTGCAGCAATAGGCAATGGCCATCCCTGCAGCCTGAAACAGCTGAGAGTCGGGAGGCCGACCCAAGGGACAATCAACTTGTGCTAATTAGGCTGTGCTGAAGCTGAAATGGGCTGTCTCTTCTTGCTGCAAGGAGGTAAATTGCTGGGAGGCAGAGGCCAAAAGGTGGGGGCCAGCAGGTGGGTGGAGCTACATTCGGTGTATAAGACGCACCCAAATTTTCACCCCCTTTTAGGAGGGGAAAAAGTGTGTCTTATACTCCAAAAAATACGGTAAGTCCTTCTTCCAAAGCTTCTACAGGTATGGAAGGATGCTCAAAGGAAGGCAAAACGGACCTCCACTGAAAAGGACCACGTAGAAGAGCAAAGGCCAACTTGTTGTACAAGGATGCAAGAAACCAACAGATTATGGCACACGCACCCAACCTTCTTCCCCATTGCTATTTGGGCAATTTATACCCGCCAAATTTGAAAGCTAACAGCATCACAACCTATCCGAACTTGGTCAAACTGTTCGTCTCTATGGACGTCTCTTCATATTTGAGTCTTACGCCAACTCAGATGCACCTTTGAGTCTAGCATCAAATCATACAAAAATCATCTTCCTGACGTATCCGAGCGTGGATGACTCCAGGTTTCTCCAACCGGATGCTCTCCAGACAAGCCACAATCACAAAAAAAATCCCAGATTTTTCTGGTTGGCCCGTGCAACCATCGGTGGTGCTGGCTGGAACTTTTAGGGAATGGTAGTTCCAACAGTATGGAGGGCATCAAGGTTGAGAAATGCTGCGGATGTCCAACTAGCAGGGAAGTCTCCACAGCTTCAAGAACAAGACATTTGAAAAGCCAATTACACTGTGTTTTATATAAAATCATAATAATACAGTGCAGAAGAACTAATGCTATCCAAACTATCCAAACTTTGGCACAGCTGTATGCCGAGCAGTGTCACTTACGAACCCAAGCCCAGGGTTGGGATTCAGCCATTTCGGACCAGTTCGCGTGAAGCGGATGTTAATTTTAATCTCGTTCGGTGAACCGGTTGTTCCAAGGAATGGCTGACCCCGTCCACTCCTCCCCACCCCGGAGTCTCCATGCGGCCCATTTTGGATGCCAGGTAAGTGCAGGGCGTGTGCGGAGGCTCTGGGAGGGCGAAAAATGGGCTTACCGGAAGTCCGGAAACGGGCCTGTTTCTGGCCTCCAGAGGGCCTCCGGTGACTCGGGGAGACCTTTTTAGCCCTTCTGGAGGCTCTAGAAAAGCCTCCGGAACCTGGGGAGGGCAAAAAAACCAGGCCTACTGGAAGTACCAGAAGTCCGGAAAGGGGCCCATTTCTGGCCTCTGGAGAGCGCACAAAGCGAACCGGTTTTTACAACGGGTGAATCCCACTAGTGCCCAAGCCTCGGATACCACGACATCCATGACTTCTGAGTGTCCTACATGGGAGGTGGACTTTATTTATTTATTGGTTCAATTTATATGCCGCCCTTCTCCGGAGACTCAGGGCGGCTTACAATGCGTTAAGCAACTGTTAAGACTTTCCCAACTGAAAGAGCGTATCTCTTCCCCAGTTCCGCTAAGCCCACAAAATACATATGCAGAAGATCCTTTGACTAAAGACTGGTATACGTGTATCTGGATGGTCGTTCTCTTCCACCAAGCTTGCAGCTTCAGGAGGGATACACATGGGAGGGGGGGGGCAAGGGAGGGGACACCTGCCTAGACTAGCCAGATTAGCCGAATCAACCCCGGCGATCAATGGGGGTGACAGACTGTTGCAGCCCTATCACCCCCCCTCGTTCTGCAAGAAGTCCTCCTCTGAGTCCTTCAAGCTCCAGCTAGCAGCTCAAAGGCAGAAAACAGGGTTGCTTTCGGGAGCTTCCACACTTTCCCAATTCCTAGATCCCCCAAAAAACATCACAGCCGCTTCAGCAAAGAAACAGAACACAGCCACAGTATCACACGCTCCACACTTTGGCCAGACCGGATAGGGGGAAAAAAACGAAACCCATCTTCTGAAAAACCATTTTGATCCATCAGAAGTTAGAAAGGAAATGGAAATAGGGCAAGCACCAGACTGGATGGACTTCCAAGTTTATTTATTTATTTTATTTTTTTAATTTGATTTATATGCTGCCCTTCTCCGGAGACTCAGGGCGGCTTATAATGCGCTAAGCAATAGCCTTCATCCTTTTTGTATATTTATACAAAGTCAGCTTATTGCCCCCACAAATTGGGTCCTCAATTTACCTACCTTAGAAAGGATGGAAGGCTGAGTCAACCTTGAGCCTGGGGAGATTCGAACCCTGCAGTAATTGCAGGCAGCTGGTCTTAATAACAGGGTGCTTTAGACCACTGTACTACCAAGGCTCGTAAACCAAGAATTTATGTTATGTTTTTTTGAAGACCAAATGGAATTCCGTTTTTTAAAAAAACTGCGATGAACGCTGTTACCCAAGGGGTCTGCCGTGCCAGATTCTTGGCAAAAAAAAAAAAAGAGGCAAATATTGCTTTATTACCAAAAGGAAGGACAAGATTTGACCTCTGATAAGAAGTACAGGCTGATTTCGTTATTGACCGATGAGTGTAAATCATGGCTGAGAGAGTTAAAAAGATTTTCCAGACTTTTTATTCATGCTGATGTTGACCAATCTGGATTTCTACCCAGAAGACTGTGAAAGGATAATAATGTCAGAACTGTTCTGGAGATAGAATATTTTCAACATCATAATGAAAAAAACAAGTCGCCCTGTTTTTTTTTAGATGCAGAGGACAGGGCAGGACGGAAAAGGACATTATTAAAACTCCAGAGTATTTATGCAAAAATTGGGATTAATTTTTTTTGAAAGCTGGTCCAAGGAACTAAATTAAAGCGACTTACCTGTAAAATTAGCCTCTTTCCCTGCCTATCAATGTTAGCAAACTTTCACACACCCCCCCCCAAAAAAAGAGTCAGGGCACTTATTAAGTCCAGGTAGTCCTCGACGTACGACCACAATTGAGCCCCAAATTTCTATGGCTAAGCAAGACATTGGTGAAGTGAATTCTGTCCCGTTTTACGACCTTTCCTGCCACGGACGTTAAATGAATCGCTGCGGTTCTTACGTTAGTAAGACGATCGTTAAGTGAAACTGGCTTTGCTTGGCGGGAGGTCGCAAAAGGGGATCACGTGACCCTGGGCCATAGCAACCGTCATAAATACGAGTCAGTTGACAAGCGTCCGAATTTCGATCAACGGGCCATGGGGATGCCGCAACGGTCATTAAGTGTGAAAAAACGGTTGTTAAGTCGCTTTTTCGGAGCTCTCGTAACTTCGAACAGTCACTAAGTGAACTGTCGGAAGTCGAGGACTACCTGTAATGCATTTGAGGTAAGGATATATCCCTGCGGGGGACTCTTTCGAAAGGAAGAGCTCCATTGAGGTATTAACTCCCAGGGATATGTTTTGATTTACGGAGAATTTAAGATGTCGCAGAAGCCTTATTCGGAGCGGGAGAGTTCACCGCCTAAGAGAACACTCATCCTGCAATCCTAAAGTAGCACTTTATCGTCAATTTTAAGAGGTGGGCTGGGAAAACAAGACACATCTGGGTTGTATTTCGAAATCAGAGTGAGATTACGATGGGATTCCAGGTGGAATCCACAGCCACAGGCCCTTCAGTCCCTTTCAGAACACCTTGTGTTGTGGCCTATTGGACCGCGGCCCCTCCAGCAGCCGAATCGGAGGAAGAGGAGGAGGCGTGGGAGTCGGGGGTCAGCATCAAGGCAACCTGAGAGCTCCAAGGGGGAAGAGGGAATGGAGCTGGCAGAGAGAGAGAGAGACGGAGGCGGAGACTGGGCCGTCCGTCAGCCCTCAGGTCAGGAGGTAGCTGATGAAGAGGAGGAGGAACAGCTGGGTCCGGTGCCTGACGTGCGGATGCACAGAAGGCAGAAGGAGAGGAGAGCAGTGGAAATCTATGGGCCAGTCCTTGGGACGGAAGAGCCACCGCTGCTAGCGAAGTCCCACCCTAACTCTGGGGATAAAAGGCAGCGGGTGGAGATGAATAGATGTGGCAGCTACAGAGGGTTTGTCGTATTTGGGGAACTGGGGAACAATCCTAAAGTAGCACTTTATCGTCGATTTTAAGAGCTGGGCTGGGAAAACAAAACACATCTGGGTTGTATTTCGAAATCAGAGAACTCTCAGATTCGGGTTTTTTCCCAGATGTGCCAGTATACCTATTCCAATAAATGAAAGATTTGGGATGACGCTCGTCTCGGGAGGTTTTTTTTTTTTTTTATTGGAATTGGGTTGTTCTGACAAATGGGTGGCAAACCTTTTCACGAGCTTTGAAAATTCACCGGAGGTTTTGAACAGGAAACGGGCCGCTTCAAACCTTCTCCTAGCGCCTCAAACTCAAAAGAGCCAGCAGCGCGCGGCTCCTGACCCCCGAGCCCAGAATTTTCAAAAGCTTACCGTCAGCGCCTGGATCTCTTCTTCAGCTTCTGCCGTGGTCTCTTCCAGTTCGGTTTTAGCTTCCCGGAGCTGACTTTCCAAGGCTGATCGAGCCGCTTGCAACCCTGAAATCTGAGATTCCCTCTCCTGGAGGGTGAGCTGCAGTTCGGTAAGCTGTCGCTTCAGTTCCAATTTTTGTTCTTCGTGCTCAAGGCTAACCTAAAAGGGGGGGGGGGGAATTGGAGAGCAGTGAACGTCCTTGCTTTAAGGCTCAAATGTCCAGCACTTCCCTGGAGTACAGGATGAAAAGATCGGACTGCACGGGCCAAGAAAAAAACAGACACAAAAATGTCATTCAAAGAACCTTTCAAATTCCCTATATCCTCTGGGTTTTTTTTTTTTTTTTTTAAAAAAGCTGACCTCCTCCAAATAAAAAAAAGGGATGAATCCCCATCTGAACAGGTAGTAAACCCTGAAGAGCCGAGATGGCGCAGTGGTTAGAGTGCAGCACTGCAGGCTACTTCAGCTGACTGCTAGCCAGGGTGGATAAAAATCAATGATTTTTTTAAAAAACAAAAAAATCAGTTTTTTTTTTATTTAAATCGGATTTTTTAAAATTTTTATCGAATTTATTTTAATAAAAAACTTTTGGGGTAAAAATCTATCGTAAGATAGTTTTCTATTTAAGATACATAAATAATTTAGTTTATTCAGCATGAAATGGAGCTTAGTTACGTAGCATGAGGCTGTATATTCTGCAACACTGGGACTATCGGTGAGTCAACAGTGGGTCAAAGGAGTAGCAGAGATGACAGTTGCTCTTTCAAAATTAGGATTTAAATCAAGTTGATTTAAATCAAGCCTTTTTACTAGTGATTTTAATCATGATTTAAATTGTGATTTAAATCAACTCGATTTAAATCAAATCCACCCTGCTGCTAGCTGCAGTTCAGCAGTTCAAATCTCACCAGGCTCAAGGTTGACTCAGCCTTCCGTCCTTCCGAGGTGGGTAAAATGAGGAAAATGAGGAGGGAGGGAGGGAGGGAGGGAGGGAGGGACGGAGGAAGGAAGGAAGGAAGGAAGGAAGGAAGGAAGGAAGGAAGGAAGGAAGGAAGGAAGGAAGGAAGGAAGGAAGGAAGGAGAAAAAAAGGAAAAAAAAAGGAAAAGCACTAGCACTTAGATTTATATACCGCTTCACAGCCCTCTCTTAGCAGTTTACAAGGTCAGCCTCTTGCCCCCAACAATCTGGGTCTTCATTTTACCGACTTCAGAAGGACGAGTCAACCTTGAGCCGGTCAGGATCGAACTGCTGGCAGTCGGCAGAATTAACCTGCAATTCTTCATTCTAACCACTGTGCTCTTAACAGCACAGTGACCACAACTCTTAACAGCACTTAGACTTACGGTATATACCGCTTCCCAGTTCTTCCCAGCCCTAAGGAAGCGGCCTATTGTCCTCGTTTTACTGGTTAATGCAAACGTGGGAGAAAGGGAACTTCCATATTTCAGCTCACAACACTAAGCCAGTGTTTCTCAACCTTGGTAGCTTGAAGATGGGTGGACTTCAACTCCCAGAATCCCCCAGCCAGCTGGGAGTTGAAGTCCACCCCATCTTCAAGCTACCAAGGTTGAGAAACACTGCTCTAAGCTATCAGAATCAATCTTGGGAAGCAGCAGATGATCACGAATGTGCTTGTTGATAGTTCTATCCCCGCAGCCTTTTGTCTCTGTTTACACCCTGCCAAAACATGTCTGGCACTTGAGAAACAAGACTCGATGCCATCTGATTAACGGGGAAGCTCATTTGTTTCATCTGGGGGCACAGTGCTGCTTTTAAAAGGTTGTTGCCCGTGTGAATGGAGTCCCTCTGGAAGGACTTCCTCACACCCTTAAGCAGGTGCCCAAGGTTCCTCTTGAAAAGCAGAAGTTCATCGGAAGACTTGGTCTTCTGTGGAAGGAGTCTTTGTAGGCATAGTGTGGATGTTGTGGCCTATCGGCCGCCGGCCCCTCCAGCAGCCGAATCAGAGGAGGAGGAAGAGGAGGAGGGGGCATGGGAGTCAGGATCAGCATCAAGGCAACCTGGGAGCTCGGAGGGGGAAGACGGAATGGAGCTGGCAGAGAGAGAGAGGTGGAGCCTGGGCCATCCGTCAGCCCTCAGATGGAGAGTCAACAGCCCCCAGGTCTGGAGGTAGCTGATGAGGAGGAGGAGGAGGAACAGCTGGGTCCAGTGCCTGACACATAGATGCACAGAAGGGAGAGGAGAGGAGAGCAGTGGAAATCTATGGGCTGGTCCTAGCTCTGGAGATAAAAGGCAGGGGGCGGAGATGAATAGTTATGGCGGACAATTATTCATCTCCCGGCCAGACAGAGTTGTTAGCCTGCGGTGAAAGAGAAACGTTTTGCAGGGGCTGCCGGCATTCCTAATAAAGGAATCTTTTGAGTTCATGTCAGAGGGTTTGTCGTGTTTGGGGAGCTGGGTCAGAACAGTGGAGTTGCAGGAAGGAGAGGCTCGTTCCCAGAGGGCAACGAAATAGCAGAGCTTGGACTGTCTGGTGGGCAGGAAGAGAGCAGAGTTGGGCCCTCCCTGGCAGCTCACAGGGTATATCTCAGGAGTCAGCAACCTGCGGCTCTGGAGCCAAATGTGGCTCTTTCATCCTTCTGCTGTGGCTCCCTGCTGCTGTTTGGCTTCACAATTGATAGGGCTTTCAGTTAGGGCAGGTAGAGGAAAAAGGATGGTGTGCTAGGAGGAGACTCTTACGGTAGGGGAACCAGACTTCTGGTCAGCAGAGGAAAAAGGACACCACCCTGGCGGTCCTGCAGAAAATGGTAGTTAATCGGTAGTGCGAACGGTAGGAAGATTCAAACTTTTTTTTTTTTTACCTCTCTTAACCTCGTCTCCAACTCCAGCAGGCGAGTCTTGTCGGTGTGGTCCTGATGACTGATTTTTTCCAATTGTTCCTCCAGTTTATTGTTGTGCGCCTCTAATTTTCCAGCCTGGGTTTCCAGATAAAATTTCTGCTGCCTGAGCTCAGAAATCATCTCTTCTTGAGCTTTCCTAAATAAAGATTTTTTTAAAAAAAATTGGAGGAGTGGGGGGGGGGGGCAGTTTAGATAGGGGGCGGTTTAGATAGTCTATCCCAGGGGTGAGCAATTGTGGCTCTTTTACAACCTATGCACTTCAACTCCCAGAATTCCTGAGACAGCCAAGCTGTCCCGTCCCCCCCATTCCCCTCCCCACATACACACACACACTAGTCCTTCTTTTCTCTAGATTGGCCCTAACCCTAACCAGCCTAGTCCTTCAGAGGTAACTGGCCCACAACTTGCAAGATTTTAGTTAGAATAGAATAACAGAGTTGGAAGGGACCTTGGAGGTCTTCTAGTCCAACCCTCTGCGTAGGCAGGAAACCCTACACCACTTCAGACAAATGGTTATCCAACCTCTTCTTAAAAACTTCCAGTGTTGGAGCATTCACAACTTCTGGAAGCAAGTTGTTCCACTCATTAATTGTTCTCACTGTCAGGAAATTCCTCCTTAGTTCTAAGTTGCTTCTCTCCTTGATTAGTTTCCACCCGTTGCTTCTTGTCCTGCCCTCAGGTGCTTTGGAGAACAGCTTGACTCCCTCTTCTTTGTGGCAGCCCCTGAGATATCAGAAGACTGCTATCATGTCTCCTCTAGTCCTTCTCTTCATTAAACTAGACATATCCAGTTCCTGCAACCGTTCTTCCTGTTTTAGCCTCCAGTCCCCTAATCCTCTTTGTTGCTCTTCTCTGCACCCTTTCTAGAGTCTCCACATCTTTTTTACATCGTGGCGACCAAAACTGGATGCCATATTCCAAGTGTGGCCTTATTACCAAGGCCTTATAAAGTGGTATTCGCACTTCATGTGATCTTGATTCTGTCCCTCTCTTGATGCAGCCTTTTATTTCGGTTTCGGAAACCCATAAAGCTAGTTTAGATTCCAGCATCCTCAGAACAGCATCCAATCCCTTTCCCCCCACCCCCTTCCAATCAATTTGCAAGATTTTAGATATCTCGTGCAATTTTTGATAAAGATGCCAAGACTGCAAACACACTTGGCAAACTTTCTGGCAACAGACAAGACAGACAGACAGAATGCAATTAGGGGAGATTCAGAGATGTTCTCTGCGGTGCCTGTTCGGGCCTATCTCTGCTCCAAATTCAAAGGAGCATCAAAAGGAACGCTCTACACAATGAGTAACCGGCTTGGTAAACTTCTCCAAATGGGTGTGAGTCAAGACAAGATAATAGCAGCTTTTATGCTTACATGTTCCTCTGAGTAAACAGGCTGCTGTTTGCTGCCAGCTTGTTAGCTTCAGACAGTTCCACTATTCTCTGCTCCAGAGATCTGATCTTCGAATCCATGGCATTGATCATCTGAAGAAAGAAGACACAGATTATTCCCCCCCTGCTGTATTAACAGCGGTGTTCGAACGGTGATGGATTTATTCAATTTCTCCAGCCGCCCGACTCAACCAATTGACTTTGGGAGGCTTACAAATTCTCAAATGATAAAAAACAATTAAAAACAAAACAAAACAAAACCCCACTAAAACGATAAAAAAAACACCCACGAGGTTAAATAAATACAAACGGCAGTAGTGATGATTCATCTACTAACAGTAGAGCCAAGAAAGGGGGCCCTTCCGACTCCCAGTCAAGTATTTAAATCAGGGGTGCCCAATCTTGGACAACTTTAAGACCTACAGACTTCAACTCCCAGAATTCCCCAGCCAGCCATACTAGGGCGCAAAGAAAAAAAAAATCTGCTGTGAACTCCACATAGGTGTCAGGAAGGGCATCCGATCAGTCAAGGCTGAGCTCCATCTAGTCGCCCTGACTCTATGAATAATTAAATGTAAAGGTTCCCCTCGCACATGCGTTCTAGTCGTTCCCGACTCTGGGGGCGGTGCTCATCTCCGTTTCAAAGGCAAAGAGCCAGCGCTGTCCGAAGATGTCTCCGTGGTCATGTGGCTGGCATGACTCAACGCCAAAGGCGCACAGAACGCTGTTCCCTTCCCACCAAAGGTGGTCCCTTTTTTTCTACTTGCATTTTTTACCTGCTTTCGAACTGCTAGGTTGGCAGAAGCTGGGACAAGTCACGGGAGCTCACCCCGTTAACACGGCACTAGGGATTCGAACCGCTGAATTGCCGACCTTTCGATCGACAAGCTCAGCATCTTAGCCACTGAGCCATGATGAATAATGAATATGAATAATTAAGCGATCGTAAAAAGGAAGTAAATGGGAGTATGTGCATTAACTATATTGCATTAATAAAGAAGAATATGTGTAGCTCGGGGTTGATAGGAGGGGTCCTTGATGCTCTCTGAGCTTGCTAGTTTTCTTGCAGATGTTTCAGTATCCTAACTAGGAAACCTAATCAGTGCTAGTGCTTATCTAAGTTGTAGATGCATGATTTAAGGCCTCGAAAAGGGCTGGAGCCATTCTAATCTCCGAGAGGGACGATATCCCACGGAGCAGGGGCCACCGCAGAAAAGGCCCATCTTCTCGTTCCTGCCAGTCGACATCGTTGGCTGACGGCACCTGCAACATGTCCAAATCTGCCAGATCAAACTGGACAGGTGAACTCTGTCTTGGATAAAGACAGTCCTACAGGTAACCCAGCCCCAAGCCAAGTTAAGGCTTTCAAGGTGACAAGGAGCACCTTGAGCTGCACCCCACGGATGAAAGTATCGGAAGGGGCGAAGCCCTTTCTCGCTTCTAGAATTAAAAACCAAGTTGGCCATCTTCTCAAAAATGTTCCTGAGCATTCTGAGAGAGCTCCCTCTGTCTGAGCTTCATGGAAACCACCTGGAGCTCTATGGGGATTGCGGGCCCCATCTTCCAACCCTGCTCAAAATATTCTACGGGGCTCGGCAGGCGTGTTCTCCGAAGCACGCCACGGCTTCCCAACAGGAGGCAGGGGAGAATTCTCAACAGCTCCTCCGCATGAAAACATCTTTTACGCCGGCAATATTGATATGACAATTATGCGTGTTTAGCTCACGCTAAGCCGGGGCAAGTGACATTTTACGCATTCGGATGTGACTAAGATCACCTACAAGCAGCCGGGTGACTCAAGCTAATTGAAACAGCAGCGCCTTAGCTAAATAGCAGCCCCGCTTACCGCTTTCTGCTCGGCAAGGATTTTGCACTTTTCGTGAGCTTCCTCCTCGTGTTTCCTCAGCATGTTCTCCAGAGCATCTTTGTCCGCCAAGTCTTTCTTCATTTGGTTATCAAGCACCTGCGGGGATTGTGGGAAGGAGGAAACAAGCAGGCCTTACTTTTAGGCCTCTTGACGTTTGCCAGCGAAACTTGGGTTGTCTTAAGCCGTTTCAGACGGCTGGAAAAGTGTCGGAGAAACACTGGAAGGCCAAACCTTATCGGGAAGTTGCAAAAGCTTTCTGGGGCTGAAAAAGCCGGAGTTGGTCTTGGAGTGGCATTCCAGGTGCTCCATTCAAAAGAAACCTCACAAAATGTATTCAAAATGGACTGAGATTAATATGTGTGTGTGGGTGGGTGTTTGTGTGTGTAGCATATGTATTTGTATGTGCGTGCATGCATATGGGAATGGATAGATAGATAACGTAGATAGATTGGATGGATGGATGGATGGATGGATGGATGAGAGAGAGATGGATGAGAGATGGATGGATGGAAGAGATGATACATAAGAGAGAGAGATTATAGATAGATGGATGGATGGATGGATGGATGGATGGATGGGTGGGTGGGTGGGTGGATAGATGGACGGACAGATGACAGACAGACAGACAGAGATGATAGATGACATACTATGTCATCTATAGTGTAGATGTATAGATGGATGAATGGATAGATAGAGATGATAGATGGATGGACAGACAAATAAATATAGATGATAGATGACAAACATACAGATTAGACGGATGGATAGATGGATGGACGGACGGATGGACAGACAGACATAGATGATAGATGACATACTATGTCATCTATAGTATAGATGGATGGATGGATGGATATGACAGATGGATGGACAGACAGACATAGATATATAGACGATAGATGGCAGACATACAGATTAGATGGATGGATGGATAGATAGAGAGAGAGAGATGGTAGAGATAGATAGAAATTGACAGCAGATATCAGAAATTTCATTTTTAAATGTGTGCCAATGTGTTCGCAGAAACAAGTGACAATCAAGGTTATCTTATCTTAAAGCTACGTTTGAGAAACATGGATATTGGCAACGGTGGCAAATATCTGTAGCTCAGGTATAGGATGAGGGTGGAGGTTCGTTCTCCGAGCTTGTGGGTTGGTTTCCGAATATTTCATTACCAGGCTAGGTAATGTCTTCAGCTGAGTTTAGGGGAGGTCAGTGTTTAGGGGTTCCGATGAAGACTGGCCACCAAAGCCCACACCTCGACATGCCTTCTAGATGTTTCATAATAGGAGCAAAAAAATTGAGCTGAACAGGAGGCTGGCATGCCCAACTCAAAAGTCAGTCCTACTTAGAGCCTAATTGTTCAGTTGCCTGGCACTGTGGACATTATTTGGCGAGAGTTTCGTTCGATCCTTTCTTCGTATTTTCTGCCTGGGTCAACCTGACATCTGAACAGCCGCTCAACAGTTCCATGGCAATTTGAGCCCCATTCCTCCTCCTCAACAATCTCTTACAATTTGTTAAAAGCTCTTGCTGGACTTTCCCAGGGATTTCTTGAAAAAGACAGCTAATGCAGAAGGGGAGCACGAAGGGAAGGGAAGAATAAGCTAAAGGTAAAAGTTCCCCTCGCACATATATGCTAGTCGTTCCTGACTCTAGGGGGCAGTGCTCATCTCTATTTCAAAGTCGAAGAGCCAGCGCTGTCCGAAGACGTCTCCGTGGTCATGTGGCCGGCATGACTCAACGCCATAGGCGCACGGAAAGCTGTTCCCTTCCCACCAAAGGTGGTCCCTATTTTTTCTACTTGCATTTTATACCTGCTTTCGAACTGCTAGGTTGGCAGAAGCTGGGACAAGTCACGGGAGCTCACCCCGTTACGCGGCACCAGGGATTCGAACCGCTGAACTGCCAACCTTTCGATCAGACAAGCTCAGTGTCTTAGCCACTGAGCCATCGCGTCCCCCCAATCATTTGATGATAGATAGATAGATAGATAGATAGATAGATAGATAGATAGATAGATAGATGATAGATAGATATAGAGATAGACAGATGATAGATGATAGATATAGTGATAGAGATAGACAGATGATAGATTGATAGAGATAGATAGATATAGAGATAGACAGATGATAGATATAGAGATAGACAGATGATAGATAGATAGAGATAGAGAGATAGACAGATGATAGAGATAGAGATAGACAGATGATAGATAGATAGAGAGAGAGAGAGAGAGAGAGAGATGATAGATATAGAGATAGACAGATGATAGATGTTAGAGAGAGGGGGGGGGCAAGAGGCTGACTCTGTAAACCATTTAGAGAGGGCTGTGAAGCGGTCTATAAGTCTAAGGGCTATTGCTATTTCCTTTCCTTTCCCAACTCAATGCAGGAGGATGAGAAAAGCCCCCTGTCTCCAAAGGATCAAATCCACTTCTTACTTTGAGTCTTTCTTCATACATTTGTTCTTTCTGCTTCAGATGCAACTCCAGGTGTTGGGCCGCCAGCTGAGCTTCCCTGTGTTTCTCTTCCAGTTCCTAGGAGAAAAGATATTTCGTCAGCATCTCAAACTCACCAAAGAGCCTTTGGTGGCGCAGCTGACTAAGTGCTGTTAAAGTAGCACTTAGCTTCCAGCTGCCTGCAATTACTGCAAGTTCAAATCTCACCAGGCTCAAGGTTGACTCAGCCTTCCATCCTTCCAAGGTAGGTAAAATGAGGACCCAGATTGTGGGGGGCAATAAGCTGACTTTGTATAAAATAGAACACCGCTTAGGGGGCCCGAAAGCCCTACTAAGCAGGCATATACAAAAGTATGAAGGCTATTGCTTAACGCATTGTAAGCCGCCCTGAGTCTCCGGAAAAGGGCAGCATATAAATTGAACCAATAAATAAATAAATAAATAAATAAATAAATAAATAAATAAATAAATAAATAAATAAATAAATAAACAAACAAACAAACAAACAAACAAACAAACTCAAAGGGGAATACCTACAGAAGCGCACCTACATAGCCCTACACACACACACACACAAAATATAATAACAAAGTTCCAATTTTTTTCTCCAGGTCCTTTTCCATTAGACCCATAAAGGAAAAATCTTCTGCTTTCATCTTCCTCTCCATCTTCAAAACCTTCTGTATTAAAAACGTGAATCGTGATTCGAAAAGCCGCCCTTAATAAGGGAAGTGGCTTCGTGCATTCGTTTCCAACTGACTGCATGACCCGACAATCCTTCTCCTGCATTGCACATGAATAAATTACAAGCCCATCTGTAGGCTGAACTCCCGACGATCGCTTGATGCGAATCGACGTGGTCCCTGGGATAAATGTTTTGCAGGATCCAATCTGGGTCACTCGCCGGGACCAGAGGTTTTGGCTTTCCCGAGCTTCCTGACTCGTGCTGGAGCCCATCCTCAGGGAACTTTTCCCTAGCGGAGTGTGCACTGTTGTGTATGTGTGTGGTTTTTTTAGAACGGCACACAATCCGTTAGGGAGATGTTCTCTGAGGATGGGCTTCAGCACGAGTCCGAAAACCCGGAAGACAAAACCCAGATTGGATCCTGCATGCATGCATCTGATTCACAGATTAACCGAGTCGGAAGGGACCCTGTAGGTCATCTAGTCCAACCCCCTCCCCCCCAAAGCAGGAAACCCTACACCATTTCTGATATTGGGGTACAGCCCATCAACAATTATACGAACACTGTTAAGTTATAATGCCTTGGTAATAAGGCCACACTTGGGATACTGCATTCAGTTTTGGTCGCCACGATGTAAAAAAGATGTGGAGACTCTAGAAAGAGTGCAGAGAAGAGCAACCAGGATGATGAGGGGACTGGAGGCTAAAACATATAAAGAACGGTTGCAGGAACTGGGTATGTCTATATTGTGGTTGCCAGCAGCCTGCGGAGCTGGCAGCAGAGTTGGACAGTGAGGAGGCTGGGGAGGACAATGGGCCAGTCCTGGAAGGACCAGACGAGGGCTCTGCGTCGGAGACAGAGATGGGGCCAGGGCCATCTGGGAGCGATGCGTGGACTCCAGAGCCTCCAGAGACAGACAGCAGAGAGAGGAAGAACAGGAGGAGCCTGTTCCTAATACAGGCATGCGAAGAGCTGCCAGAAGGCAAGAGCAGCTGAAGCAAAAAGGACGACTCAGGAGTAAGGCCAGGAGATGATTGGCCCCTCCCATAAGGCTTAAAAGAGCAGGAACGGCTCTTGGGATCTTTGTAGGAAAGCAACGATTGATTCCAGTGCTTCTTGTCAGAGTCTCTTGAACTTTGTGGGGGTTTTGATAAGAAAAGCCTTTGGCAGGTTGCCAAAGCCATCAAAGGTTGGTGATAAGGCCGTAGGACTGTTTATGAAGGACTTGTTTTGGACTAAGCTGAGAATAAATCAATTCTCAGCTGTTTTAATAAAATAAGTTTGTTCAGGACTGAATTGTGTTTGGTAATCTCTACATGGGCCTCGGTCACAACAGTCTAGTTTGATGAAAAGAAGGACTAAGGATGACATGATAGCAGTGTTCCAATATCTCAGGGGCTGCCCCAAAGAAGAGGGAGTCAAGCTATTCTCCAAAGCACCTGAAGGCAGGACAAGAAGCAATGGGTGGAAACTCATCAAGGAGAGAAGCAACTTAGAACCAAGGAGAAATTTCCTGACAGTGAGAACAATTAACCAGTGGAACTCCTTGCCTCCAGAAGTTGTGAATTCTCCAACACTGGAAGTTTTTAAGAAGAGGTCGGATAACCATTTGTCTGAAGTGTAGGGTTTCCTGCCTAAGCAGAGGGTTGGACTAGAAGACCTCCAAGGTCCCTTCCAGGTCTGTTATTCCAATTCAAGTTTTTTTTTTTTAAATCACAGACTAGCACACATCTCTCTGCAATCGGCTTAAACATATATTCGAAGGCAAGCAAGCCAGCAGCGGCGGCAGCAACAACCAAAACTCCATCGTGACCTATTTCCCCAAAATGGATAGATCTTTCCAGAAAGTCAAGAAGTGTAAGTTGAAAGCCGCTGCAGACTCCGGGGCAGAGAAAAAAACAAAAACCACTTGAAATCTTCTTCTCCTACTCAGCTGCCCCTACCTCTGTTGCCATAGCAAGCTGTCAGCTTCCACCTACACGGCTAAAAGCCCAGGGAAAACATAAAAGACTCACAACGCTTTCTCTTCTTCGAGGGTTGATCTTCGGTTCGGTTCTTTGAAGTAGATCCCGGCTCAAGCAGTCGCTTCCTTTTTGAGAAAATGCTCTCCGGGTTTGTTTTGTTTTTTTAGAGGGGAGGATGAAACCGTTCTCAAACCCATCGGCCGCTGGTGATTCTCCAGAACAGAGGTCTTCAAACTTGGCAGCTTTAAGACTTGTGGACTTCAACTCCCAGAATTCTCCAGCCAGCTATGCTATGAATTCTGGGAGTTGAAATCCACAAGTCTTAAAAGCTGCCAAGTTTGAGAGCTGTTTGAGAATTCTGGGAGTTGAAGTCCACAAGTCTTAAAAGCTGCCAAATTTGATAGCTGGCTTTGAGAATTCTGGGAATTGAAGTCCACAAGCTGCCAAGTTTGAAGACCTCTGCTCCAGAATCTCAGCGTACATTTTGGATTCAAACAATACAAAGCCAAAAACGCAGAATCGTATGGCCGGACCTTTGAGGTCTTCTAGTCCAACCTCCTGCTTAAGGCAGATCTTTACACCACCCGAGTCAAAGGGTTGTTCAATCCAGCGATGGAGACACAACTCCACAACTCCAGAAGGCTATGGATCTTTAACAGATCCAAACGTTCCATCCGTTACTTCTTATCTTGCCCTCTGATGCTGTGGAGAACAGGTTGACCCTCCCCACTCCTCTTGTCTATGACTGATTAACAGAATAACGGAGTTGGAAGGGACCTTGGAGGTCTTCTAGTTCAACTCCCTGCTCCGAGGAGGAGACCCTAATACCATTTCAGACAGGTAGCTTTCCAGGTTTTTCTTCAAACTGCTAGGTTCGAAAGGAGCTGAGGCAGAAACGGGAGCTCAACCCATCCTGGAGCGCTCGGGTCTCAAACTGCCAACCTCCTTTCAGTTGACACGGCCAGCGTTTTTTAACCACTGGGACACCGCACAACAGTTGTGCGGTGGACAGGGGGGATCGTGAGGAACTGGACAGTAGTTACTTTTTTTCCCAATCTCATTGTAACCGGAGTAGCCACATGGCGAGATAGAGGCGGCAAATACATTTAAAACAAACTTTGACCGGTCGCTAAAGAAATGGCCGTAAATCGAGGAGCACCTGTACCTGCCAATCTGTGTGCATATAAATATTGATAGGTATTTGGACCACCTATCAACGCAGGGCCGAAGAACTCTAAGCAGCTAGAAAGGTCTCCTTTATTTATTTTATTTATTTATTTATAGTCAGATTTATATGCCGCCCTTCTCCCGCGGGACTCGGGGCAGCTCACAACAATAAAACAACCCGACAATAAATACGAGTTAAAAAATATTACAACCAATTTAAAATCCCCAATCCCCAAGTTAAAATCCACAACAGATCAGGGCAGTTGGTGAAAAAGCCATGTCTTTAGGTCGGCACGGAAGGTGCGGGGGTCGGGGGCCGTCCAGAGCTCGGTGGGCAACCCAATCCAGAGGGTCGGTGCGACCACAGAGAACGCCCTCATTCTGGGGACCGCCAGCCGACACTGTCTAGCCGAGGGGACCCGGAGGAGGGCAGCCCTATGTGAGCGCACTGGGCAGTGGGAGGCCGGTAGGAGATGATCTTGCAGATCCTTTATCCTTCGTAAGAGCGAGAATCCTAGCAAGCCACACCATGGATTCGCATCGGCAGATTATTTCCGGAGAGGGAAGAGTTAAGGTGATTCATTCGGTCCTTCTCCAACACGGGGGGGAAAAACCCAACAGATTTCGGGACACGGGCGAGACTGCCAAGGCTTCTCCAGCTTGGCTTTGCAGGCTTCATTGTCACGTAACTCCAACATATTGATGGGCAGGGAGTTTACGAAACACCCCTTTGTTGGAGCCGGGAGCGTCTGTTGCGGCAACTGGAAGCCGAGGCTCCTCCGTGGGAAGCAGAAGCACCACGAGGAGCCCGGGGGATTCTGTGGGAAAGGCCCCGGGGGAAATTGGGGGGGGTGAAAGAGGGGAATTGGAGGACTCCCAGCAGAAGGCAGGGGGTTGGACTGGAAGCGTCATTTTTTCTGGCCTGTCCAAGAATTAATTAATTACTTAATTCTTTTCTTTCTTTCTTTTTCTTTCTTTCTTTCTTTCTTTCTTTCTTTCTTTCTTTCTTTCTTTTTCTTTCCTTTTTCTTTCTTTCCTTTTTCTTTCTTGCCTTCCTTCCTTCTTTTTTTTCTTTTTTCTTTCTCTTTCTTTCCTTTTTTGTTTCTTCCTTCCTTCTTTCTCTTCCTTCCTTCACTTTCTTTCTTTCCTTTTTCTTTCTTGCCTTCTTTCTTTTTTCTTTCCTTTTTCTTTCTTGCCTTCTGTTTCTTCCTTCCTTCTTTCCTTTTCTTTTTTTCTTTCCTTCCCATGTTTCCTTTTTTCTTTCCTTCTTTCCTTCCTTCTCCTTTTTTCTTTCTTTCCTTCTTTCCTTTTTCCTTTCTTTCTTTCATGCCTTCCTTCTTTCTTTTCTTCCTTCCTCTCTCTCTCCTTCCTTCCTTCTTTTCTCTTCCTTCCTTCCTTCTTTCGTCATCACGTTTTCAAGGAAGTCCAGTTGCCTTTTCAAAAGCACTATTGCGTCAACCAACTAGAGTTAAGAGGAGGCAAGGCTACCACGTATGAATATGAATGTATAAATACTTTTTATTGGGGCGGATTTTCATGATTTATGATTGCTGTCAAACACCCCCTGAGAAAGCTTGAAGGCTGATGCCTTCTCTAAAGCAGGAACCACATTTTTCAGCCTCACGGACTCAGGGTATTATTAACAAGGAACCCTCGATAAATGTTACCTGTCCCCAGCTGCAGAAGTTTATAATTTGAAACCTTCTGCTTCTTTTTCTGTCTTTTTAACACTTCCCACCAAATACCACTCACTCCGTTTGAAAACTCCCCTCTTTTTTTCTTTTTTTTTTCATTGCTACCCACCAGAATTTTATCAGCCATCTGCTGGATTTGCTGAGATTTTGTCTGGATATCTTCTTTCAGTCGGTTCTCTCGCCGTTCCACCGTCTCCAGCCGCTTCACTTGGTTCTCCAGAGAATGGCGTCTTTCCTAGAGAAAGTTTCAGACAAGAAGGCAGAATGAACCCCTCCTCACCCCACCCCACCCCCAAAAAAAGAATCCGGATAGTCACCCAATGTTTTGCCATCACAAGACCACTCGACTCAGAACCTTGGATGATTGAATTTGAGTTAGGAAGCCCGGACGGTTTGAAAAACAACAAAAAAAGTTTTTAAAAAAATGGCAATGATTCTTTCGTGACAACTCTGCCACACCGTATAAATTTGGCCACTTTCAAACCAAGAACGGTGGTTTCCCACTACAAGCGCAAACAGCTGTGGCTACATGCTCTCCAAATTCACTTCTGCCTTTATCTAAGATAAAGGTAAAGGTTCCCTCCGCACATAGGTGCCAGTCGTTCCCGACTCTAGGGGGCGGTGCTCATCTCCGTTTCAAAGCCGAAGAGCCAGCGCTGTCCGAAGACGTCTCCGTGGTCACGTGGCTGGCATGACTCAACGCCAAAGGCGCACGGAACGCTGTTCCCTTCCCACCAAAGTGGTTCCTATTTTTCTACTTGCATTTTTTACCTGCTTTCGAACTGCTAGGTTTGGCAGAAGCTGGGACAAGTTACGGGAGCTCACCCCGTTACGCGGCACTCGGGATTCGAACCGCTGAACTGCCGACCTTTCGATCGACAAGCTCAGCGTCTTAGCCACTGAGCCACTGCCTTTATCTAAACTTCGGTTCAAATTCCCTCCAAAAAAGGCCATAATCTTTAAGCAAAAAAGTCTCAGTCAGCAAAGAAAGCCAAGCCCGCCACACCAGACCTTTTTGTTGCATTGGAACCCGACGCGCCAAAGTTGACAACTTGCTAACCTCGGCTTCCAGCAATTTCTTTTTCATGCTTTCGTTGGAGTCCTCCCGGTTCTGCAATTTCTCCAGCTCTTTCTCGGCCCTCTCTTTGGCTTGGCGGATGTTCTGAAGCAATTCGGTGGCTTCCGAGCTGGCTTTCATGGCCTTCAAAAGAGAAGTGAAAATCAGGGGTGCCAAAACACCGAAGCATTTCAGGAACCCATCGCACAAGGTTTTTAGCTTAGCGCATCACGTAATTTGATGCATAGGGGGAGGGGGAATCAACAATATACTGGTCCCTACATTAGGAAGGAAGGAAGGAAGGAAGGAGGGAGGGAGGGAGGGAAGAAGGGAGAGAGGGAGGGAAGAAGGGAGAAAGGGAAAGGGAGAGGGAGGGAGAGAGAGAGAGAGAGGAAGGAAAGGAAGGAAGGGAGAGAGGGAGGGATATTGTGGCCATCCAGAGCTGTTTTTTTAATTGGACAGACTTATAAAAGGGAGGGAGGGAGGGAAGAAGGGAGAGGGAAAGGAAGAGGGAGGGAGAGAGAGGGGGAGGAAGGAAGGAAGGAAGGAAGAAGGGAGAGAAAAAAAGGGAGAGGGAGGGAGGGGGAGAGAGAGAGAGGAAGGAAAGGAAGGGAGAGGAGGGAGGGAGGGATATTGTGGCCATCCAGAGCTGTTTTTTAATTGGACAGACTTATAAAAGGGAGGGAGAGAGGGAGGAAGGAAGGAAGGAAGGAAGGAAGGAAGGAAGGAAGGAAGGAAGGAAGGAAGATGCTAAAGTAATGTCCAGAGCATATTCTCCACGAAAGTAAAAGACCTAAAATTTGTGTAGTTATGTTACTGTCATGAGCCTGGACCTATCAAGAATTTCATCAGCCCAAAGCACCAATGAATGGACATAAACTGTCTCAATTCCTACCCTCAAAATGTAGACATTATAGGGCACTGCACATCAGAACAACTAGACACAAGGACAGTTTTTTCCATCACTCTGCTAAACAAATAATTCCCTTAACACTGTCAAACTATTCACTAAATCTGCACTACTATTAATCTTCTCATTGTTCCCATCACCCATCTCCTTCCACTTATGACTGTAACCTTGTTGGTGGTATCCTTACGATTTATATTGACTGTTTCCTAATATGATTTGATTGCTTATGACTATCATTAAGCGTTGTACCTTATGATTCTTGACAAACGTATCTTGTCTTTTTATGTACACTGAGAGCCGATGCACCAAATTCCTTGTGTCTCCAATCACACTTGGCCAATAAAAGAATTCTATTCTATTCTATTCTTCTAGGAGAGTGGGGGTGGGCTTCCCACACCAGGAACAACAACAACAACAAAAAAATAAAAAAAATAGAAGTCATAGAATCCATGAGTTATCTTTTGGCACCTACTCCATTCATGAAAACCCCGAGCCAAATTAAACCACCGCAATCTGTTGCCATCTCCGCACTCATTATATCATCCCCTAAAGCAAGCCTCGACTGCTGAAAACGCTCACACACCTGATGCGGGATGCATGTGCCTTTCTCTCTCTCTCTCTCTCTCTCTCTCTTTCTTCTCTCTCTCTCTCTTTCTTCTCTCTTCTCTCTCCTCTCTCTCTCTCTCTCCTCTTTCTCTCTCTCTCTCTCTTTCTCTCTCTCTTTCTTCTCTTTTTTCTCTCTCCTCTTTCTCTCTCTCTTTCTTCTCTCTCTCCTCTCTTTCTCTCTCTCTTTCTTCTTTCTCCTCGCTTTCTCTCTCTCTCCCTCTCTCTCTCTTCTCTTTCTTCTCTCTCCTCTGTTTCTTCTCTCTTCTCCTTTCTTCTTGTTCTCTTTCTCTCTCTCTCCTCTCTCTCTCTCTTTCTTCTCTCTCTCTCCTCTCTCGCTTTCTTCTCTCTCTCTCTCTCCCTCTCTCCTCTCTTTCTTCTTTCTTCTCTCTCCTCTCTTTCTCTTTCTTCTCTCTCTCTCTCTCTCTCTCTCTCTCTCTGTGCCCGACTTAGCCTTCTCAAGTTAAGTTCCTACCCAATAGTCTGAATTCTGACTCAAACTTTTGTTTTTAAAAATAAGCCAGCCCTGACAGGTTGTGAAGAGGAGAAAGCACCGAGCATCACGATCTCAAGTTCCAGGGCCCACCCCCCACATCTCCCCCCCTCCCTCTTCCCCGTCTCTCTTTCCTATCTAATAGCAGGATGACTAACTCTGTTTTGGAACACCAGACTCTTGTTCCGCCCTCCTCTGCGTTACAGCTTGCGGGAAAATGTCTATAGAGGAGATTTATAAACTTGTGTAGGGGGGAAATTTAAAAAAATAATAATCAACCCCCCCCAAAAAATCCCTTCCTCCTCACCAGCTTTCTCACTGAAAATCAAAAGCCATCGATTCTCCGGCCACATCCGGAATTAAATCTCACCTTGGTCAGCTTCTCTTGGAGTTCTTGAATTTTCACCTGTTGATCTGCATTGATCTAGACAAGAGAGGAAGGGAAAGAATGACAGAATGACAAAATCGGAAAGGGACCTTGGAGGTCTTCTAGTCCAACCCACTGCTAGACAGGAGACCCTACACCTATGACTATCACTCAGTGTTGTATCTTATGATTCTTGATGAATGTATCTTGTCTTTTTATGTACACTGAGAGCGTAGGCACCAAAGACAAATTCCTTCTGTGTGTCCAATCACACTTGGCCAATAAAGAATTCTGTTCTGTTCTGTTCTGTTCTATACTCTACTCTACTCTACTCTATTCATCAGTGGAGGTTTTTAAGAAGAAACTGGACAGCCACTTGTCTGAAATGGTATAGGGTCTCCACCTTAAGCAGTGGGTTGGACTAGAAGACCTCCAAGGTCCCTTCCATTTATTCTATTCTGTTCTGTTCTGTTCTATTCAAGGCCTCCCATGAAATTTCTATCTTTATTTAGCCATCCTGTTTATTGTCATTGTACGTATATACACCGTATACCCATACAACGAAATTCACATAATACCCAGAGACCAGACCCAACTCACATGACAATCCCCAAACACCCCCACCCACCCACCACAAATTCCCCACCCCTAAACCACCCAAAAATCCACACAACAGACCAAATAATGTTGTCCAACAGCTCACTGATGGTGGCCCTTTAGTTCATTGTTGAGTGCAGTTATAGCTCTGGGGTAAAACCTTTTCCCAATTCTTACCTCCTGAACCTTGTCTTAGGCCGACCTTCCCTAATTTGCCTTCTCCACTCTGCTTACACAGCTCAACATCTCCTTACTTTCTGACTCCTTACAGCCTCTAAGCTGGCGCAGGGATTTTTCCTCGGCTGCTGAAAACGCACTTCAAGTCACAATGCTTGAAATCTTATAAGCTGCCTAAGATTGGCAGTTTCCCTTATGGGGATAAAATGTTCAGGAAGATTCCATATAATGCTAATGCGGTCAAACAGGGCACAGTTTCTATCACTACTGCCTGTCCCCAAATCCCAGTTTTAAGTCTGGAATACATTCGATTTCATGATTTTGGTCCGCTGGCTAGTCCCTCACTGCCAATCAAACTGTGAGTCAGTCAAATATTGTATTTATTCTGGGATACCAAAGGTGCTTTTTTCAAAAAGCAATTGGGCTCTATTCGTTTTTTTCACTGAAGACCTCGGTTTTTTTTCTCATCCAGGAAGCTTCTTCAGTTCCCCAAAGGCAACTGGAACTTCCTTCGTTTTTCCTTGAAGAAGTTTCGCTTCTCATCTGAGAAGCTTCCTCAGTTCTCGGTTCCAATCCTTCTCCAGAACTGAGGAAGCTTCTCAGATGAGAAGCAAAACGCCTTCAAAGAAAAACAAAGGAAGTCCACTTGCCTTTTAGAAAAGCATCTTTGGGGGCCGCCATGATCTGGATGATTTGAGAATCCCCACAGACGTTTATTCCCGGGATGTTATCGCTGAATTCCAGAAAGAAAATGAGACTTATAAACATACCTTCTCCAGCTTGGAATACAGCTCTCCTACTTCTGTTTTTCCTTGGTCTTTAACCTTTTAGGTGAAAATTAAACAGAACATGTAATTTAGTAACCGGATCCAGATTAACAGAAAACTATGAAACTTTGAAGTTTCCATGTTCTTATACCTTTCCCCCACCAACACACCTTTTATTGGAGAAATAAGGGTGAAATCGTGCAGGCAATTGTGATCCAAAAAAAGAAAGAGAGGGAATCTTTCTTAAGTAGATATCCTAATCTAATTGCGGTATTGAAAATAGAGTCATCGGAAATTAATAAAAGCAGTTATTAAGGACTAATTTTGACCAGAAAAAGGCAACCATACTGGGTGTAAAGGCATTTGTTCTGATTATATTGTAACACACAAAGTAAACAATTTAGAATAACAGAGTTGGAAGGGACCTTGGAGGTCTTCTAGTCCAACCCCCTGCTTAGGCAGGAAACCCTACACCACTTCAGACAAATGGTTATCCAACCTCTTCTTAAAAACTTCCAGTGTTGGAGCATTCACAACTTCTGGAGGCAAGGAGTTCCACTTATTCTGTCAGGAAATTTCTCCTTAGTTCTAGGTTGCTTTTCTCCTTGATTAGTTTCCACCCGTTGCTTCTTGTTCTACTCTCAGGTGCTTTGGAGAATAGCTTGACTCCCTCTTCTTTGGGGCAGCCCCTGAGATATTGGAAGACTGCTATCATGACTCTTCTATTCTATTCTATTCTATTCTATTCTATTCTATTCTATTCTATTCTATTCTATTCTATTCTATTCTATTCTATTCTATTCTATTCTATTCTATTCTATTCTCCTTTCCTTATTCCATTCTTTTCATTTTCTATATTCTATTCTATTCTATATTCTATTCTATTCATTTTTCTATATTCTATTCTATTCTATTCTATTCTATTCTATTCTATTCTATTCTATTCTATTCTATTCTATCCTATCCTATCCTATCCTATCCTATCCTATCCTATCCTATCCTATCTTGGTGGCGTAATGGTTAGAATGCAGGATTGCAGGCTAACCCTTCCCACTGCCAGCATTCGATCCTGACCGGCTCAAGGTTGACTCAGCCTTCCGCCCTTCCCGAGGTCGGTAAAATGAGGTGTCAGGGTTCTAAAACTGAGTCAAATTTTTCTCTTTTCCCTCCGTTAGGAGCCAGCTAGATTGGAAATCAACCACTGAATTCTTGGAGGAGCTGACCTTAACTACTTTCTGGAGCCGGTTATGACATTCGGTGGCTTTCCGCTTGAACTCTTCGGCGGCCAGTCGAGATTCCCTCAGCTCCGATTCGTAAAGATCGCTGCGTCTGCGAGCAGAAATCAGGTCTTCTTCTAGCTGATTCATCATCAATCTCATTTCTTCCACTTGAGCTTGGTACTCCTGAGGACCGGAAAGAGAAGTCAGACATATTGGAAAGTCATGAAGGGAAAATAGAGGGGAGGAAAGATTCTGGAATCACAGAGAGACTCATAGTGAAATGTGGTCATCCATTTGTCCGTTCGTTCGCAAACAGCAAACAGCCTGCTTTACTTTCAGTTTGGTTTTCAGCATAGCTTGATTAGCACAAGGAAAAAAAAAAAATCTGCTCCAGCAATTTACCTCCTTGCAGCAAGCAACAGAGCCCTGCGCAAAACAGCTGAGAGCAAAACAGCTGAGAGTCGGGAGGCCGATCAACTTGTGCTAATCAGGCTGTGCTGAAGCTGAAAGGAGCTGTTTTTTTTTTCTTGCTGTTGGCTTGCAAGGAGGTAACTGCTGCGAGGCAGAGGCCAAAGGGTGGGGGTCAGTGGGCGGGCGGGGCTACATTCGGTGTATAAGACGCACCTAAATTTTCACCCCTTTAAGGGGGGAAAAAAGTGCGTCTTATACTCCGAAAAATACGGTACATCCTCACGAACCAGAGTTATCCGTACCTGTTCTTTGATTTCCTGCAACTTGCGACTTTGTTCTCTTATATCGTGAAGGAGCTGCAGCGCCTTGTCATCCTCTTGAGACACTTCCATCCGCGCCTGTTCCAGACTTCGCTTTAAGCTCTGGAAAAAATGCAAGGTTGGACACAGAAAGGCCCCCCCTTTGCCTGAGACTGGGCCAAAGCAAAGGCGGTCGGCTAAGAGGGGGAAAAAAATCAACAACCCCCAAACTGTTGTGAACAAGAAGCTTTGCATCTTAGCATTTTTGGGGTGCAATTTCCACCTTCTGACCTCGGGTGCAGGAAGAAGATCTTCTCGAAAGATGCCTCCAGAGAGGTTAAAAATATGCTTTCGATCCAAAACGGTAACAAGGACAAGTTATTTAAGAAGCTACTTGAAAAAGGAGACTATCATCGTAATCCCCCATGCAGAATCACAAGAGTTGAAAGAGACCTTGGAGCAGGGATGAAATGCTACCGGTTCACACCAGTTCGTCTGAACCGGTATTTCCAACGATCAGCTGTGCCGCACAATTTAAATTAGCTAGAAAGCAGGAAATCCTTGACTTCCTCGACTAAGTCGAGGTAGTCCTCGACTTACAAACATTTGTTTAGTGACTGTTCAAAGTTACAATGGCACTGGGGGGAAAAAGTGAAACTTACGACCAAGTTTCACAATTACCACCTTTGCGGCGTTCCCCCACCCCACCCCCATGGTCATGTGATCCAAATTCAGCCACTCGGCAACCGACTCATACTTACGACGGTTGCAGAGGGTCACGCAATCCCCCTTTTGGGACCTTCTGACAAGGAAAGCCGATGGGGAAACCATAGGTTCACTTAACCACCGTGTGACTCACTTAACAACTGCCGTAATTCGCTTAACAAGCGCGGCAAGAAAAGTCATCCAAGGGGGAGGGGGCCCAAACTCACTTAACAAATGTTTCGCTTAGCCACAGAAAGGTTGGGGCTCAATGGTGGTCGTTAAGTCGAGGACTCCCGGCATTCTTTCGCCTTGGTATCACAATCAACCCTTAGGCTCCCGAGACCCTGATATTACGTAACAAGAACTTCAAAAGGCTTTTTAAATGATAAAACCGTCTGGAGCAAATTTCTTAAAACGGGGCCACCATCCCTGGGGGTGGCCAATCGCCAACTCGAGATCTCCTAAAGGCCCACCGGGGTGAAGGGGTTTTCTGGGGGAACAGGGAGAGGCTCACACTGCATTCTGTGATGTAGGTAGCCAGGTCCTGTTCGAGGAGGGATCGCTGCGTCTCGGAGGCTTTCAGTTCCACCTCCTTTTGGCTGAGCACAGCCTCCACCTCTGACACTCGGCGATGCAGGCGCGTCATTTCCTGCTCCATCTGCAAACAGACATCGAAAAGGTTTTAAAAAAGGGATTTCCGGCGGGCGCGACGGAGAGAGCTGGCGGCGTCAAGGCGCGCCCCGGGAAGGTAAGAGACGAAAGTTTTAGTAAGGTGTTTTAAAAGGCAAATACCATTATTTCTGGTCCTGGGAAATTCACACTTCCTTCTCAGGGGAAAAGCAGTAATTCTAAGTCACCCCATTCATTCACGCGGCTTGTTCGCATTCGGTCCCTCTTCGAACCCCGTTTAGCAAAGAAGTCACCATCATTTTTTTCACCCGATTGGGTGGGTTTTTTTAAAAAATTATTATTATTTTCCTCTCTCTCTTTCACTCCACAGATGGGTCACTTGAGCTTTATCCCAAATCCATTTCGGACCAGAAGTGGATTTCCCCCCATATCTTTCAGAGGGACCAGAGATCAACGCGGATCAAAGCAAAAGAAAGCGCGACACTCCCTCGGCAAAGTCCCTCAAAAGGAGAACGGGAGTTTCCACGGATCCCCACGGAGTTTATTTCCAAGAAAAGAATTAGAACACGGTTCGTTGCAAAATCAAAGAAGCAGCCGTAGGTATGGAAGCAGAAAGAAGAGGACCAGGAAGAGAAGGGGAGGGCGGGAAAACGCCCTCCAAGACTTTGCAGTACTCAAAAAGAGAATTAGAAGAAGGAAAGCATCAGATGAAAACGGCATGTGAAGTGCTGGAAATCAGAGCTGGGCTGATCAAGGATCTTGGATGGATCCAGAGCTTCTTCTGGTTAACGGGAGCAGCTCTGGAAAGACACATGACCTAAGATCATCTCTTTCTGCCCAACGAGGAAAAGTCTCCGCGGAAGCCGCCAACCGACGTCAACCTCTGGCAGGTCCTTTAGGCCGGACAGGTCGTGGACTTCTGGAGCAAGGAGAGAGGCCGGCCATGAAAATAAATACCTTGTGACACTTATCCTGGGTGTCTCGTAGCTCTTTGCTCTTAAAAAGGAGTTTCTTTTCCATGGAGCTAATCTTCGCGGGAGAATCCGAACGCAAAGCAGACCTTGAAAAAAAAGAGGAAAGAGAATGAATCGCAAACACTGCGTATAAGTATATGTGATATTCCAATCTGTAGGCTAAGAGGAAGGGTGAAATGCTACCGGTTCGCTCCGGTTCGGGCAAACCGGTAGTGATCAAAACTACCAGTTTGTGCGAACCGGTGGTTAAAAAAAAAAAAGCTTTCTAGCGAAGCTAAATCGAGTGGCACATCTTATCCTCCCCCCTCGCTGTTATACTTACCTTCCCAAGCCTCCTTTTGGTGCATACTGTGGATGCACGGCCAGCGAACCGCAAACCGGTTCAGATTTCACCACTGCCTAAGAAGTTACGTAGAAGCCTTAAAAACTTACTCACAACCATCTAAAAAAGCAATGCAGGATACAGATTCTCTACCCGATCAAATAAGGCCTCTACACTCCAGCCTGGAATATTTTTTAATGCAACGTGGCCTCTATCTCAGGAGCTCTCAAATGTTGCATCATCTTCATTTCATGACCCCAAAATGCCTTGCGGGGTGGAGTCTGGGCAACTGAACGGAGCTGAATGTTTACTGGCCAGATGCCTTTCCTGTCGCCAGTACGGAGTTATAATCAGCAGATATATTCCCAGTGTGCCCAGAGAGAGAAAGATCTGCCTCTACCTAGGATCGAACTCACAGCCTCCTGATTGCGAGGCGAGAGCTCCGCCTCTAGGCCACCTCCGCACCACTCCAAATATTGTACTGCTATGACGCCATAAATAATAATTCTGTCATTAATTATAACAATAAAAATACCATTGTTATTGATCCAACAATAAGCATAACGTTTGCAAGAACGAGTCTTCAATCTGTCTACATAGGATAAAACAACGACAGAACCTTGAAAGACTACAAAATCAAAGCTTCTCATTGAAAATAAGCCATCGCATCTACAAAGTTTAAAACCATATTTAACAGGAAGCACGAGCCTCCTGAAATCTAGGGTTTATTTTTTGAGAGAGGCCTTTCATTTCTCATTTCACATGGATTCTGTAGGAGAAGAGCAGACTGGGGGCGGAGTCAAACGAGTCATCAGCCTGGAGTCATTACGTTCCCACAAACAGTCTTAAGTCCAATCCTTGAATGCCGTTGACTTTTATCTAGATATTTGTCTATAGAGGAATGAGCAATAAATAATCTTAATTGGAACTTAATGCCAGATTCTGACTATTTGTACAGACTACCTGTACAGACAGTCTTTGACTTACAATCAGGACTAGAATTTCCACTGCTACGCCAGGCGATGGTTCAGTGAGCCGTGCCTGATTTTTACCACTTTTTTTTTTTTTTTTGCCACTGTGGTTAAATCTTTCAGTTGTTAAGCGAATCAGGCAGTCGCTAAGTGAATCCAGCTTCCTCCTTTCGTTTTGCTTGTCGGGAGTCCGCGGGGAAAGGTCCCAAAATGGCGATCATGCGACCTTGGCATGTTGCGGCTGTGGTAAAGATGTGCCAATGGCCAAGCACCTGGATTTTATATTGCGTGACCACTGGGATGCTGCGACGGTCATAAGCGCGAGGATTGGTCATAAGTCCCTTTTTTTTTTCAGTGCCGCTGTAACTTCGGAAAGTCACGGAACGAATGGTTGCAGCGTTATCAGGTTAAGTACAGCCGGTGGTTTGACTGTATTTGTCTTCTGTGAGAATCCAGATTGTTGAGGGGGCAATTAGACTAACAGTTTAGAGAAGGCTGGAAAACCACTTTGAAGCGGAATATAAGTCTAAGTGGTATTACTTTTGTTGGATGGATGGATGGATGGATGGATGGACAGACGGACAGATGGAGAGAGAGATATAGGCTCAAGGTTGACTCAGCCTTCCATCCTTCAGAGGATCCAGATTGTTGGAGTAGCGATTAGGCTGACTCTGCAAACCGCTTAAAGAGTATTGGAAAGCACTGTGAAGTGATATATAAGTCTAAACGGCTATTGCTATCTCTCTCTCTCTCTCTTCTTTTTACCTATCATTCATCTATCTATCTATCTATCTTCCATCTATCTATCTTCTATCTACCTATCATCCATCCATCCATCCATCTATCTAAAGGTTGACTCAGGCTTCCATCCTTCAGAGGATCCAGATTGTTGGAGTGGCGATTAGGCTGACTCTGCAAACTGCTTAAAGAGTATTGGAAAGCACTGTGAAGTGGTATATAAGTCTAACGGCTATTGCTATCTCTCTCTCTCTCTTCTTACCTATCATTCATCTATCTATCTTCCATCTATCTATCTTCTATCTACCTATCATCCATCCATCCATCTATCTAAAGGTTGACTCAGCCTTCCATCCTTTCGAGGTGGGTCAAATGAGGACCCAGATTGTTGGGGGCAAGAGGCTGATTCTGTAAACCGCTTAGAGAGGGCTGGAAAGCACTGTGAAGCGGTATATAAGTCTAAGTTCTTATTTATTTATTGATTGATTGGTTGGTTCGATTTATATGCCGCCCTTCTCCGGAGACTCAGGGCAGTTTACAATGCTTTTAAGCAATAGCCTTCATACTTTTGTATATACCTGCTTAGTAGGGCTTTTGGGGCCCCCCAAGTGGTGTTCTTTTTTATACAAAGTCGATGTCAGCATTCTGATGCTGCCATAAAAAGACGAGCTTTGACTTTTCACCTACTTATTTCTCTGTAGATAATATCCCCTAGGAAATGAGATGGTGGGGGGGAACATTCCTATGTGGTGAGGTCAGAAGCTGGGGAGACTGACTTGGAAGAGGGCCAATGAGACGATGAGAATTGGGGAACGGAAAGGGAAGGGTTTGGGGGTCAGAGGGTTAGTATCGGCTACGACTAAGTCGGGGCCAGATCTGTCATACTCAATAAATGGAATACTTCAGCAAAGATTAATTGTTTGGGAGCGCAATTTATTTGAGATGACATCGAAACCTGACAGTCAGCTTATTGCCCCCACAATCCGGGTCCTCATTTTACCTACCTCGGAAGGATGGAAGGACAAGTCAACCTTGAGCCTGGTGAGATTTGAACTCACAGTAATTGCAGGCAGCTGGCAGCTAAGTGCTACTTAACAGCACTTTAGTCTGCTGCACCACCAAGGCTCTTGCCCTTCCTTCCTTCCTTCCTTCCTTCCTTCTTTCCTTCCTTCCCTCCCTCCCTCCCTGTGATTAGAATATAGTATTGCAGGCTAACTCTGCCCACTGCCGGCAATTCAAATCTCACCAGGCTCAAAGTTGACTCAGCCTTCCGTCCTTCTGAGGTGGGTCAAATGAGGACCCAGATCGTTGCGGGCAAGAGGCTGACTCTGTAAACCGCTTAGAGAGGGCTGGAAAGCACTGTGAAGCGGTATATAAGTCTAAGTGCTATTGCTATATCTTGGTCTCATCATCCCTTTAACTTTGCATTATTCTCCCTTCAATGGCCGTCCCTTGTTTTTTTTCTTCTTTTTCTACCCAAAACTAGGATCCAAGAACAATTTATTTGTCCAAGCACTTAAGACGTTGAAAGGCTCAACCTGGCATATCGTAAGTCCTCTCTCAGTATGCCACAAAGATCGCTTTCCGTGCTACAAATGCAGATGCAAAAAAAAAAGAGCTTTTTTTCGTCACACAAGCTATGTGACTTTGGGAAGAGATGTTTTTACAGCCCTGTAATTGGGCTCGAAAATCATAGCTGATAGCTTAAGAGTACTGTGCAAATGAATCCCCATGTTTATTCAATAAGCTTTCATTAAATAAAACGCAACCAAAAAAAAAAAGAAAAAGAAAAAAACAGCCAAATGTGGCTTATTCAATAAACACTGTTTACATATGCCACAAGAGCTTAACGTTTGAATGAAGTCCTTCGTCTGAACAGTTCTGATAACAGCTGGGAGGTGTTTTGTACGAGGATTATTTTATTTATGCCAGCCTTTCTGCTTAGATGAACAGACGGAAGTTACAAGCCATGGTTTATGTCCTCGCGTGTTGTGCGAAACAGTTAACTGTGATTTAGAAAGCTACTACAATAGAGTTGGTGTCTTAATCAAATTCTTGGATTGAAACTAGGAGATAAGCCATGGTTTCTAAGCCTGGCTTGTTGAGCAATCCCTGCCGCTCAGAATGCGCTCAGTAAACCAGGATTAAGCCAGCATGGTTTAATGTAAGGTCCAAACCCAGACTGCCCTTTCAAAATCTCCTAGAGGAGAGAAAGAAATGCCATGCCTTTAATTCAAGAACCTTGCACCTTTCCATTTTTCACATCTTCCTCTCGCGGGAGAATATTTTTGGAAGAAAACGAGAAACTTTTTAAGAACCGACCTCCAGAATCCAATCCAAGGTTCAGAACCACAAGGGTAGCTTTGCAAATGAGCTTCCTTCGACCACGGCTACGCCTTACCCCGGTCACCATTAACCAATAATCCCAGTTACATTTCTCTGCTCAAACCGGTCTCGTCACACAGCCTCCCTTTAATTTATTTGGAGTCCTTATGAAGGAGCTTCATTGTTTTTTCCGTCGCCTCGGCTAGGGCAGAATCCACGGCCGCCCCTCCAAAAATTAAAAATCGATCAACTCAAGATGCTAGTCATCAAGAGGAAAACCTTTCCTCTCGCCGCTTGCGGAGATTCCCTCAAAGGTTTGGTGGAGACTTTTAAGAGAGCCCCCCAAAAAATAACCCTCACCCCTGTAAAACAGCTTTTTGGTGCAAAGGTACCACCTTCGGATTCCTGATTGGTAGTCCCAGTTTTCCTCCTCCGCCCCGCAGGCACCCTGTGAGTAGGAGGACACCAAAGGCAGGGAAGAATCTCCCTTTTAATTGCTGGCCTATTTCAGGTTCCTTCTGACTCATAACACGGGGAAACATCACTGGTGCCAGGAGAGAAACCAAATTTAGGTTCCTTTAAATAAATAAATTTAAAAAAAAAACCATCCTCCACAACACAGAGAACACAGAAAAAAAAAACTCCGAGGTCCTCAGACAAATCTACTGCCTTATCTACAGAAGTCCATTTGAAAATAGGAAGCTGAGATTTATTATTATTATTTTTTATTTATTTAAAACAAGTCATGCTTTGCTAAAAACCCCGGGGGTGAATTTTGCAGGTTGGCAGCTTCCTGCACTAGCTGGAAACCCGATTTAATATATATATATATATTTATATATTCCATGCAGGGACAATCTGTAGAGGCTTAACGCTCTCCTCGTCTTCCACGGAGCCAGCTTTTGCTCCTACTTTCCTTCTCGTAGTAGCAACCCAGACTCTCCGGGGCCCACGAAACCAGCGGAGGCATCCCTTCGACAGATGACAGATTACTTTTTCACGAGATCAGCTCACTACCATCACGATCCAGGACCTCAGATCTCACCCCCCCACCTCTCTCCCCCCCCCCCCCCAGCCAATCGCCCCGGCCCTCCGCATCAGTTCTGCCACCTCCTGGGGTCCCCCCTTTTGCCCCCGGGGCCCCCCCCACCCCCCGCCCCCCCCCCCCCCCGTTTTGCTGGGCACCCTGGATCCCTCGTCTCGTCTCCTCCACCGTGCCCCCCCACCCCACTCCTCCACAGATGGACCTAACTGGGCTTAGTAAATCTCCCCCCCACCACTCCAGGGCTTACATTCCCCCCTGCAATTCCCTTCCTCTATCTATCTATCTATCTATCTATCTATCTATCTATCTATCTATCTATCTATCTACATCTATATCTATATCTATATCTATATCTATATCAATCTATCTATCTATCTATCTATCTATCTATCTATCTATCTATCTATCTATATTGCAAAGGGTGAAGTCAAAACCATTTTCTTCCCCTGCAGGCTCATGGATTTTTGGGGAAAGGAGGGGTACACGGGGACCAGATTGGATTCCAGGAGTTTTCATCTCAAACCGAAGAGTCCCCATCACATCCAATTCCTGGGGATGAGGGAAACCAAGCAAGATCCATCCTAATTTGTAAGGGAAATCAAGACCCTGAACCATATATATATATGTATATGTATATGTATATGTATATGTATATGTATATATATGTATATATATATGTATATGTATATATATATGTATGTATATATGTATATATGTATATATGTATGTGTATATATGTATGTGTATATATGTATATGTATATGTGTATGTGTATATGTGTGTGTGTGTGTGTATGTATATATATATATATATATGTATGTATGTATGTATGTATGTATGTATGTATGTATATATCTCTCTTAACACTCTGACGAGCTCAGCAGATGACTGATGAGAGCTTAGTAAAATAAAATTTTAATTCTTTTAAAATTTTAAAATCTTAAGTTCCGGAGTTCGCAGTATGTCTGCTTCTTTTTATATATATATATATAAAATCTCCTTAGTCTCCCACTGGGCAGCAGGGTGCTTGCTGGCTGCCTGAAAAAAAAGCCTAGAAACTAGTGGATTGTGATTCCACTGGACTAGGGCTGCATAAAAATCTTGGTTTACCTAGGAAGAACCTGGCTAAAAAGAAATACATATATATATGTATATGTATGTATGTATATATATATATACACGCTCCACCACTGGATTTCTGCCTCCATCCCAAGCCCGGCAACTACCCGGAGAACACCGATCCCCTCTTGCTACTCATCTCTTCCGAGAGAGAGAGAGAGCCGGTACTTACTCTGACTGGAGGACGGCGAGCGCCTTGATGAAGGAGAACCCCACGAACGGCAAAGCTTCTCCGGGGGAAACCGCGGGGTTCAGCTGGCCGAGAGAGGAAGCAATGCCAGCGTTCGTCTCCCGGGCATCAAAATTAGACGTATCATCTCCAGACTGGACGGCAGGTACGAAGGGAGGGCGAGCTGGCGGTTCGTTTCCAGGGGACACCCGGGGTCGGTGGGGAGAGGAGGAGAGGGAAAGAAAGGGAAAGGATGAGCTGCTGTTTGGGCATCCGAAGGGCTCTCATTCAGCATTTTCAACAGCCGAGCACTGCAGCGCGGTCCGCTTTTTTTTTTTCTTTTTTCATCTCGCTAACCACCAGCAGGCTGAGCTAACCCGCTCTCCCCTCCAACCAACCCTGCTTTACAGCAACAAGAAATTAACCCTTCCCTTACCAACATGGCCACCATTTTTTGCAGGGAAGAGAAAACTCCCCTTGGCAAAGCTAAGCACCCGGGTCGGTCAAAACAGGATAAAAAAGCCAGCCATCCAGGAAGGAAGGAAGGAAGGACGTCTCTTAAGAAGAGATCACTTTCTCCAGTTCCTTTCTTCCGGAACGGGATCAAACACGGAGCTGAGATGATGCAGAAAGCCAAACAGGCAGTCTGCACCAGCCGGCAGCAAAAGCCAAGCTGGACAGCGCCAAGAGCATCTCGGGTTTGGATGCCTCAAACGGTAGAATCCCATCCCTAAGATAACCTTGAGAAGAGCAGCTGCAGGCGGCGGCTGGATCTCCACCGCTTAAGGTCAGAACCAACCATCGCAACCCTCTCTTGCTCAACCTTTCTCCCAAGGGTGGATGGTTTCACTGCAGTCCACCTCCAAAATCCCCCTTTTTTCCCACCCACCCCCCCTCTCTCTCCATTCCCGGCGGGCACCTTTGCCTCTCCTCTCTCCGGCCGGCTTCGCGGGCTGCCCGGCTTTTTAATTGCAACGAGAAAAGAGGCAGCAAGGATGAAGGGAGAGAAGTTTCGGCATGACAGGGGCTCGCTGGCTTGCAAGGGATCCGAGAGGGAGCTCCCATCTGATGGGAACTTGCACCCCTTGGTCCCGGTTTCTTTTTTTTTCCCAGGCTGCCTCTGATCCCTGGAAGTCACCGGATCGTGCAAATCAACCGGCTCTCTTCTCCCTCTCTGGCAAGCGGATTTCCAAGTTGCTCCCTGTCAGAAGCTGGAAAGGGGGGGGGGGGGGGGGAGAAACGTAGAGTATGCAGCCACCGTTACCATGGCTCCATAGAGATCTCTCAAAGCTGAACCGCCGAGGCGGGGAGGGGGAGGCCAAGAAGGAGCCTCAGCCAGCCGGCATGGCATGAGCTGCTCCTCCTGCGGTGCAGGCTGACCGCTCTCCACTCTGTGCATGCTCCGAGGAGGTTCGTTTAACCCTCCTCTGCCCATCTGCCTGGCAGACGCCGCCTGGCAGCCATCGGGGAGGGAGGGAGGGAGGGACACGGAAGGATGAGTCACGGCTGGGGCTTGCCAGACTGCCAAAGCCTTTTGTAGACCGGGTTTTGGTTGGGTTGGTTTTTTTTTTTTTTTTTGGTTTAACCCTTTATGGTCCGGGCGCTTTGAAGATATTACAGGGAGGGAGGGAAGGAGGGAGAGAGGAAAGGAAGGAAGGAAGGAAGGAAGGGAGGAAGGAAATGAAGGGAGGGAGGGGGAGGGGAAAGGGAAAGGAGGGGAGGGAAGATGGAAGGAAGAGAAAGAGGGAAATGAAGGGGAGGGGAGGAAAGAAGGAAGGAAAAGAGAAAGAGGGGAGGGAAAAGGGAAGGGAAAGGAGGGAAGGGAAGGGAAGGGAAAAGGAAAGGAAAGGAAAGGAAAGGAAAGGAAAGGAAAGGAAAGGAAAGGAAAGGAAAGGAAGAAAGAGAAAGGAAAGGAAAGGAAGAAAAGAGAAAGGAAAGGAAAGGGAAGGAAGGAAAGCGAAAAGGAAAGGAAAGGAAAAGAAAAGAAAAGAAAGAAAAAGGAAGGAAAGGGGAAAGGAAAGGAAAAAGGAAAGGGAAAAGGAAAAGGAAAGGAAAGGAAAGGAAAAGGAAAGGAAGAAAAAAGAGAAAAGGAAAAAGAAAGGAAAGAAAAAGAAAAGAAAAAGGGGAAGGAAAGGAAAGGAAAAGAAAAGAAAAGAGAAAGGAAAGGAAAGGAAAGGAAAGGGAAGGGAGAAGGAAAGGGAAAAGGAAAGGGAAAAGAAAGGAAAAGAAAATTGAAAGGAAAGGGAAAAGGAAAGGAAAAGAAAGAAAGGAAAGGAAAAGGAAAAGAAAAGGAAAGGAAAAAGAAAAGGAAAAAAAAGGGAAAAGGAAAGGGAAAGAAAAAAGGAAAGGAAAAGGAAAGGAAAGGAAAGAGGAAAAGAAAAGGGAAAAGGAAAGGGAAAAGAAAAAGGAAAGGAAAGGAAAGGAAAGGAAAGGAAAAGGAAAAGGAAAGGAAGTTATATGTGTTATATAGTAATTTGTTTATAGCTACTTCTCACATCTGTAATGGGGGGGGAGGGACTGGGAATGAAAATTATGATTTTCATAATTTACAGAGATTTACATCCATGCCAACATCTTTCTCATCTCTATATAGGAATAGGCTCTGGAATAAACCCCCGTTAACCAATCATGCAGGAAACACCCCCCTTCCTTTCGAACCAAAGGAACGCAACCTATCACCCCCATATAAAGTGATAAATATCAAATGAAGAAAATAGCAAATTTATCCTTCCAGGCTTAAATGCTTCATTAAACAGAAAACCCCACCTAAAGACAAAAACAGCCTGAAACGGATCAGCCCGTTTCGTTTCCCGCAGGCAGAAATGCGAAGCTTTGTTTTTAATCGATCATCGTTTCGTTGTCTTAATCAGGGCGAGTTCTTTTTTAAACATTGATCTCCGAGTCGAACAGCGTTTAAAAGATACTGAGCTTATCAGCTGGAGAGGGTTCGAGACCCGAGCGGCACGTAATGGGAGAGTTCCCGTTCCTCGCTCCAGCTCCTCCCCACCTAGCAGTTCGAAAGCATGCAACCGCGAGTAGATAAACAGGAAGTTGTGGCTTGTCGGCCACCGACCCCTCCAGCAGCCGAATCAGATGAGGAGGCGGAGTGGGAATCAGGGTCAGCATCAAGGCAACCTGAGAGCTCCGGGAGGAAGAGGGAATGGAGCTGGCAGAGAGAGGGAGAGGTGGAGGAGGAGCCTGGGCCATCCGTCGGCCCTCAGTTGGAGAGTCAACAGCCCCCAGGTCTGGAGGTGGCTGATGAGGAGGAGGAGGAACAGCTGGGTCCAGTGCCTGACGCACGGATGCGCAGAGGAGAGGAGAGCAGTGGAAATCTATGGGCCGGTCCTTGGGACTGAAATTGCCTTCGGACAACGCTGGCTCCCTCGGCCAAGAAACAGACATGAGCACCAGTTGCTATCTTTTCGGTCCGGATCTTGTGAACCGGTAGTAGCAACGGCAGGAGACTCTGCCCACCCGCCCGGACATCGTCACAGACACTCTGTGCATGCTCAGAAGCTTCTGCGCAAAGGTAAATGGAACCCACCCCTGACAAGCACTAATGCCCTAGTCGCAAACATTTACCTCCGAAGGAGGTTGTCCCAAAGCTTCAATACAAATGCTTTGGGACCACAGGATCCCAGGGATCAAGGGCTTACAGGACAGGCGAGGGGCCGTCACTCACCGTTACGGATGGCATTCCAGTCAACGCGGGCAAAGAACGGGTGGCAGCACAGGCCTTGGTAATCCAAGCGTTCTTTCGGCCCACACAATAAACTCTGCAGCAGATCGAGACATTCGTGGCTGACCTTGACGTCCTCCGGGAATTTTAGGAACCTCTGCGTTTGGAACAAGAAAATACATCTCACTCGGAAGGGTAAGCGAGGGAAAATTCTCAACGCTTCCAAATTCAAAGCAAAAAAAAAAAAAAAAAAACACCTTCCTCCAGATTCCTTGTTGGTAGCATCACCAGGTCATTTTGGAAGCTGAATTAACTTTCGCAAGGAAACCTCCGCATTTTTTTCTGACTTAAAAAGAGGATGTTTTATCACGGCCGTATCGAGACTTCGTTGCTGCTAATAATACATCCATCGGCGGCATTTAAAAGTTTTGGGCGGAAGAGAAAAAAAATCCAAGAAAGCTTTGAGAAGCTGGCTTTGATCCCGGTCCTGGAGTTTGAAGCTTTATGACTTCTTCTAGAACCCGTTTCGTTTCGTTTGATTTTATTTATTTTTTTAAAAATAAGGTTATTTTACAGGTGGTCCTCGACTTACAACAGTTCATTTAGTGACCATTTGAAGTTACAAGGGCACTGAAAAAAGTGAGGACTGTTTTTCACACTTACAACTGTTTTTGTGCCTGCTCGTCCAACAATCTTAGTAGCTGGCTGTTTTTGTGCCTGCTCATCCAACAATCTTAGTAGCTGGCTGTTTTTGTGCCTGCTCGTCCAACAATCTTAGTAGCAAAAACAGCCGGGGAAGTGATTGAAGCCTGGGAAACAGGTCCCTCATTGGTCAATAGGCATGTTGATTTACCACCAGCCTATCAAGTACTTAGGAGGTAGGGGCTTGGCAGCATAAGCAAACGACAGCCAATGACTTAAAAGCCGGCCATCCACATACTCCAATCAGCATCTAAAAAGCCACATACACCAGGCACCGTATATATATACCACACACAGACCATTTATGACCTATGGCCATGTTTTCTAAACTCAGACACTTGGCAACTGGCTCCTCCCCCTACCAGGAACCTCCTGCCTGTGTGATCGTTGTCCTCTCCCTCACCGTCCCCTCCTGTCTCTCGTCCCCCTCCCTATATCCATCCTCCTCAGCCCCTCAGCCCCCTCCCAAAAGCCCCCAGCCCCCATGCCCCCTCCCCACCTTTAGGCCAGGATCATAAACTCAAAAGAAGTTTGGTCAGCAAGGGGTCGATGCTCAGCTGGCCAGCCTGGGCCCCGTCACCCTCCTCGGCCGCCATCTCCCTACGGGCCCAGCCGCTGAAGTAGTAGGACAAACTTTATGTGCATCGTACATTGTCAAAACCAAATAGCTCCACTTGCAGAAGCTAAGTGTGGTAGCCTGTCGGCCACCGGCCCTTCCAACAGCCGAATCAGAGGTGGAGGAGGGGTGGCCTTGGGAGTCAGGGTCAGCATCAAGGCAACCTGAGAGCTCCAAGGGGGAAGAGGGAATGGAGCTGTCAGAAAGAGAGACAGAGGCGGAGCCTGGGCATCCGTCAGCCCTCAGATGGAGAGTCAACAGCCCCCAGGTCTGGAGGGGGCTGATGAGGAGGAGGAGGAGGAACAGCTGGGTCCAGTGCCTGACGCGCGGATGCGCAGAGGAGAGGAGAGCAGTGGAAATCTATGGGCCGGTCCTTGGGACAGAAGAGCCACCACTGCTAGCTAAGCCTCACAGTAGCTCTGGGGATAAAAGGCCGGGGGGCCGAGATGAATAGATGTGGCAGACAACTATTTATCTTCCACCCGGCCGGACATTAGCCTGCAGCGAGAAACTTTTTTGCCGTGGCTGCCGGTGCTCCTAATAAAGGAATCTTTGAGTTAACTTCAGAGGGTTGGCCACGTTTGAAGAGCTGGGTCAGAACACTAAGAGAAGCTCCATCGGTACCTGAAAATTCATGACGTTGTTGGATGTTTTCGTTGAGGTCCCTTCGGTAAACGGCGATTTTCCGTAGGTCATTTCATAAGCAACCACCCCTAGGGACCACCAGTCACATTCTGATCCGTAGGAAGCTTTGCCGTTGTTCAAAGCACTCAGGACCTCTGGGGCCATATAGTCAGGAGGGCCAGCGGGCACCTTGGCATCCACCTTAGAACAGAAGGAATCACTGATTATTTCATGTTACTCCCGAGAGCTGGAGTGAACAGGTTAAGACCACGTATGTTTCTATATGCTCACCATAATGTCCCATTAAACACATTACTCACCAGAGGAACTAAGGAGAAGTTAACATAAAGCCTTGGTAAGACCACACCTAGAATCCTGCATCCAGTTTTGGTCACCGCGATATAAAAAAAGATGTTGAGACTCTACAAAGAGTGCAGAGAAGAGCAACCAGGATGATTAGGGGACTGGAGGCTAAAACATACAATGAACGGTTGCAGGAACTGGGCATGGCTAGTCCAGTGAAGAGAAAGAGATATGATAACAGCGTTCCAATATCTGAGGGGCTACCACAGAGAGGAGGGGGTCAAGCTATTTTCCAAAGCACCTGAAGGCCAGAAAAAGGAATAATGGATGGAAAGCGACCAAGGAGAGATTCAACCTAGAAATAAGGAGAAATTTTCTGACAGAAGAGAGAGCAATCCACCCATGGAACAGAAGTTGCCTTCAGAAGTTGTGGGAGCTTCATCACAGGAGGCTTTCAAGAAGAGACTGGACTGCCATCTGTCGGAAAGGGTGTAGGGTCTGCTTGGACGGGGGGTGGGGTGGGGGGGGGGTTGGTCTAGATGACTTACAAAGTCCCTTCCAACTCTTGTTATTCTGTTGTTCAGAAGTTGTGGGAGCTTCATCACTGGAAGCTTTCAAGAAGAGACTGGACTGCCATCTGTCAGAAATGGCATAGGATCTCCTGCTTGGATGTGGGAGTCCCTTCCTGTTAATTCCCAGATCATTCTAAATAAAGGTAATCCGCAATGTATTTTTATAATGGCTATGATCATGATCTATCGCTATGGATGTACGCACACTGCGAGCTTATGCACCAGAGACAAATTCCTTGGGTGTCTAATCACACTTGACCAATAAAGAATTATTCTAATTCTTATGATCATAAATGAGAGCGGAATATTCGTTGTCTCGACACGCGCACTAGTGGCCTGGTAAGGAGCCATGACCCGCAGGTTGCCGGGGGGGGGGAACCCCGGACCTAAACAATACTCCCCGTGAATTAACCACAGTGAAAGGTTAAGGACTACTCCTGACTATAGTCTGGGTAAATATTAAGGCTGTGAAGTTCTTTGCATTCAGAGGGCAAACGTGCAGCGAACCAGATCTCGACTTCCAATTCTGACGCACTGCAGAGCCCGAAGGAATTCTCTCTGACAGCTGCAAAAAAGAAAAGCCATTCCTGGCAGATCATGGTAAACCGGGGCTAAAGGACCCGGTTTACCATGAGATGTTGGAAGGCCCAAGGAAGTTGCATCGGATTACGTTGTTCAGGGCCAAAAAAAGGATTGCATCTGTAAAGAGGATTCGGTGTATTAACTAATCTGCTTAGTTTAAATTAGCTTTGAATTAAATTAATATCTATCTATCTCTATCTATCTCCATCAATATCTATCTATCTATCTATCTATCTATCTATCTATCTATCTATCTATCTAGCTAGCTATCCATCTACCCATCTACCCATCCATCCATCCATCCATGTCTATATATCTATATATCTATCTATATTCTCTCTCTCTCTCTCTCTCTCTCTCTCTCTCTCTCTCTCTCTATATATATATATATATATATATAAATATATATGTATATAAATATCTATTTATCTTCTCAATATCTCTCTCTCTCTCTCTCTCTGTTTGTCTGTCTGTCTATATATATATATATATGTATATGTATCTATCTATCCATCCATAAACTATCTCTATATCATTATCTATCTAGCTCTATATCTGTTTTGTCTGTCTGTCTATATAAATATCTATCTATGTATATGTATCTATCTATCCATCCATCCATCCATCTATATATATATCTATGTTTGTCTATCTAAATATCTATGTATCTATGTATATGTATCTATCCATCCATATCTATCTATCTATCTATCTATCTATCTATCTATCTATCTATTATCTATCTATCTCTCTCTCTCTCTCTCTCTCTCTATATATATATATATATATATATATATATATATCTATATATATCTATGTCTGTCTATCTATCTAAATATCTATGTATATGTATGTATGTATGTATGTATGTATGTATGTATGTATGTATGTATCCATCCATCCATCCATCCATCCATCCATCCATCCATCCATCTAAAGCTTTAGCTTTGTCCACTCTTTTTTGGAGTGAAGTGCCAGCCTGCTTTCCAAGTGGCAATGAATGATCTTTGGCAGCAGAGATGAACAACAAAGATGATTAGGGGGTTGGAGGATAAAACATATGGAGAACAGTTGGTGGAATTGGGGATGTCTATAATGAAAAGAAGGACTAGGGGAGACATGATAGCAGTGTTCCAATATCTCAGGGGCTGCCACAAAGAAGAGGGAGTCAAGCTATTCTCCAAAGCACCTGAAGGCAGGACAAGAAGCAATCATAATAGCACGGCTTTTCAGAAGGGCGCCGGAACACAAAATGAAGTTAGACTTGAATCGTGCTCATCACGGACGACTGTATTAATTGATTTTCTATTTCAGTATTTATATTGTAAGCCACTTATTCGGTAAGATGCACCGAGTTTCTGGGAACGGAGAAGGGTAATAAATAATAAGTACAATCAAATGCTCTCTTCAGGAGAAAATACATTCTGAATTTTGATTTCTGCACAAAAACACATCTCTCGCTGGAGACGTTCTCATTTTAAGAACCTCCCAAGTTTCTTCGGAACACAGTTTCAAAACTCGTTTTCTCTTCCATCTCTTATCTGCTGTTAGTTAAGTTTAAACAAAATCCCAGCTGGCTGAAGGAAACGCAAAGGAGGCCAAGTAGTATTTTAATTATAATTTTGCATTGTTTTTTTAAAAAAAAATTACTCGAGGTCAGTAGAAAAAGGAAAGCTAGAGTTTTTAGCCAGGACTCATTCAATACGTAAAATTTCTATCTGTTCAATTAGTTTAATCAAGCGGCTTTTCTTACCACAATAAGAGACAAGCAGTTCTAACCATAATCAAACCCACCATTATTTACCAACCGTAACCTCAGCTTCCTCAAATTACTCATTTGATGTTTTTCCTCCAAAATTAGAACGCACATGGTTAAACTCAAAGGCGAGGGCAGAGCTACCCATGATCGGTGTCACCCACATTTTGAGACAGATGTTCCCTTCAGGAAGAAGCAGATAATTGAAAAGAACAAATACACACACACACACACAAAAAAAAACACTAATAAGAGAAAGGGAAAGAAAGAGTATAGGGGGCTCATTTGCCTGGCTAGGTGGCTCAGTGGATAACACGCTGAGCTTGTCGATCAGAAAGGTCGGCAGTTCGGCGGTTCGAATCCCTAGCATAGGTCTCCTGTGTGAGCAGGGGGTCGGACTAGATGACCTCCAAGGTCCCTTCCAACTCTGTTATTGTTACTGTAGTGCACCGAACCAAGAAATTCCCAACCTATATATGTGGGATGCTAGGCAGAGGGAGATATTTCCTCTCTCTAGGTACAATGAGAATATATCTGTTGGGAAAAAAAACCTCCGCATTGGCGACAGGAAGGGCATCTGGCCAGTAAACACTCAGCTCCATTCAGTTGCCCAGACTCCACCCCGCAAGGGATTATGGGGTCATTAAAAGAAGATATGTCGGATGCTACCTGACTGTAAGACATGATGGAGTGCAATAGGGAGGTGGATCCCTAGGAGGGAGGGGAGGCATTCTAGAATAGTAAGAGGCAACTCAAATATCTGGTGTGAGAGAAAGAGGGTGGAGACAGTTCCTCCTCAAGAGTTCCCAGAATATATTGTAGATGCAGGTGGTAGAGTCTTCAATCTGGCAAGATTTTGTCTGTTGGTGTGATACAACAACAGCAAAAAAACTCAGCTTGAAAGAATCACGTGTCATTCTTGGATTTCGAGCCTGACACATGGTGGCTGAGGAATTCTGGGAGTTGAAGTCCACACATGATGTGATGTGAATGTATTAAGGAGGTGGGTCCTCAAGAGGGAAGATTCCAGAGGAGGAAGAGACAACTCAGCCTGGATATTATGTATGAGAAAGGGGGTGAAGACAGTCCCTCCCCAAGAGTTCACAGAGTATACTGTACTCAGTCTGGCAAGATCCTGTCTATAGGTGTGAAACAATAAAGAACTCGGGTTTGGAAAAATCACTATGCGTCATTCTTGGTTTGGGGCCTGACACATGGTAACTGAGGAATCCTGGGAGTTGAAGTCCGCACTTGGAGGCTGAAGAATTCCATTCCATTCCAGAGAAGGAAGAGGCAACTTAGCCCAGATATCAGGTGTGAGAGAAAGAGGGTGAAGACGGCTCCTCCTTAAGAGTTCCCAGAGTATATGCAGATAGTACAGCCCTCAATCTGGCAAGATTTTATCTATAAGAGTGAAACAATGAACTCAGCTTGGAAGAATCACCACGCGTCACTCTTGATTTTAAGCCTGACAAACTATCATCTATAATCCCCGGCAATGCTGGTTGAGTATCCAGGGGCTGTGATCTAGCATCGTGTTAGAGTCACTGCCCAAACAATACAGTGTTTGACCGTAGCCATGGCTTAATCGGAGTATCAGGCAGATGCTTGTTTCAAGAAATTTGGCCCCGTCGCTTTTCCCTGAGATCGTCACCCGTCATCTGTGTAACTCTGTGATACAAATTGCAATGGAGGGCACTATCCAAGATTAAACGTCAATCTTTAATTTCCCCATTTCAAAAAAATATTTATTACCGTTTTATCCACTGTCATTTTGGCAGCAGACCCAAAATCCACCAACTTGATATGCCCTGTTCTGTCAATGAGGATATTCTCTGGCTTAACATCTCTGTAAAGGAATAAAGAGGGTAAAGCAGGAATCAATAAAACTCTCTTTCTGAAATTAAAATTGCTTGCCCCATCACGCTGCTGAAACCATTACAAGGCTAAGTAATTTTTTTTTTTTTTAAAAAAAGAGGCTTCCTAATCTTCAGAACAATTTCCTACTACATTTTATCAGAAGCCAGCTGGGTTCGTACAACCGTAACCATATTAAAAACTTAGTTCTATGTGTAAACTAAGTCAGAAGTACTGTATTTTTCGGACTATTAAGACACACTTTTTTGTCTCCTAAAAGGGGGTGAAAATGTCTATGCGTCTTAAAGACTGAATATTGCCGAAGCTCCGCTGGCCGTTTTTTGGCCTCTGCACCCCGTTTTCAGGCCTTTTTCAGGCCCATTTTTTCAAAAAGCGGGCCGAAAAAAGCTTCAAAAACAGGCTGAATAATGCCTCAAAAACGGGCCGAAAAAATGCCGCAAAAAAGGGCCGAAAAAGTCCAAAAAATGGGCCAAAATAAAACCCTAAAAACGGGCCGAAGAAAGCCTAAAAAACGGGCTGAAAAATGCCTCAAAAACAGACCAAAAATGCCTCAAAAACAGGCCAAAAAAAGCCTTGAAAACGAGCTGAAAAAAGCCCTGAAAACGGGCCGAAAAAAGGCTAGAAGAGGGCCAAAAAAAGGGCCAAAAATGGGGTGCGCGGAGGCCAAAAACTTTTTTTGTTTTGTTTTCCTCTTCTAAATTTAGGTGCATCTTATAGCCAGGGGTGTCTTATAGTCCAAAAAATATGGTATTTATACTCTCCCCAGAATGGTTCAACCCCACCCAAAGGCTAAAAATTGTAAATATGGCTTTTGCATTGTTCATACTTCTTATTCAAACTTTATTCTACTATTCTGGGTCTCCAAAAATGAAAGAATGTGTTATTTTTAAATTTATTTTATATCCCGCCTTATTTTTACAAATAACTCAAGGCGGTGAATGTTATCTAATACTCCTTCTTCCTCCTGTTTTACCCATAACAACAACCTTTTGAGGTGGGTTGGGCTGAGAGAGAGGGACTGGTCCAAAGTCACCAGCTGGCTTTCATGCCTAAGGTGGAACTAGAACTCCCAGCCTCCTGCTGATTGGCCCAAAGTCACCAGCTGGCTTTCATGCCTAAGGCGGGACTAGAATTCACAGTCTCCCGCTTTCTAGCCTGGTGCCTTAACCATTAGTCCAAACTGCCTCTGACAGTTTCTGACATTTGGTTAGATATACAGATGTTAAACTGAAAAACTCACCGATGCACATAACCCATCTGATGGACGCTGTGAATGGCCAAAACTAATTCTGCTAGATAAAACTCTATGGCGCTTTCATCCAGTTGATCTTCGTATCTGTTTAAGAACGAGAGTAGATCTCCTCCCGGCTCATAATCCATAACCTTCACGTCGTAATCAGGCACACATAGCGAGGGGAGTAAAATTCGTGAAGTTAGTTGTATCCAAGACGATGCAGCCTCTTGAAAAATTAAAAAGTACTTTCTGCATTTTTATTACATGTAAATAAAAGATTTTGATATTGCAAAATCTCCATTCCCACCCCACTCTGGGGCCAGCCAGAAGTTGTATTTGCCAATTCTCCAAACTGCTCAAACTTTCCGCTACCGGTTCTCCAGTCTGGTCTGAACCTGCTGGATTTCACCTCTGGTCTATTACCTGGAACCGTGACACATACATACGTGTGTGTACACACACACAATTTGACTCAACACAAGTGAAAGCCAAAGTAACTACTTTGTGGCTCGGCGTGCAATCGATTCGATATCCATCACGATTCAGGAAAACGTGGGGTTCATCAGAATCATAGTTCTAGTTTTTAATACACGGATGAAAATTGTGTGGTGTTTTTTGTTTTTTTTTTTACATTGGAAAGGCCGCGAACCCCCTCGCCCAGCGCCTCCGCAGGTGAAAAATTCCACACTGCCGGTAAAACACAAAACCAAAAGTTTGATTCTGCCTGAAAAGATCCTTTCCGAGAATTTTTTTTTTCCCCCTAGAACTGGTAATTTCATCTATTGTGATACATGCATAGGGAACTGCATTGCATAATGAGAATTTCTATTTACTCTTACTCTTTTTTGCTCTCCCTGTCTAAGGTTGCAACCTCTGTAACAAAGGGAGGAATATACACATAAATATACATTTTATTTTATTTTTTTGCTTTTGAGGCAGTCTTGGCTCTTAGCGACTGCCTGGACATGTCCCTGCAGTTTCCTTGGCAACATTTTTGGAAATGGATTGCCCTCGCCTGCTACCTCCTACGCGGAGAGAGAGAGGGACTGGCCCAAAGTCACCCAGCTGGCTTTGTGCTTAAGGCAGGACTAGAACTCACAGTCTCCTGGTTTCCAGCCTTAACCACTATATCACACTTCCTGAAGTAGGTAGGTAGGTGGATAAGATGACGCGGATACATATACGCCTCTATTTTTCCTTCTAACGCACTTAAAAAGTTTTCTCCACTCGTTACAGGTAGTCCTTGAGTGGTGCGGCGGCCTAGAGGTGGACCTCTCGCCTCAAACTCAAGAGGCTGTGAGATCGATCCTAGGTAGAGGCAGATATTTCTCTTTCTGGGCACCATGAGAATATATCTGCCGGAAAAAAACTCCGCACTGGCAACAAGAAAGGCATCCGGCCAGTAAAACACTCAGCTCCATTCAGTTGCCCAGACTCCACCCCTCAAGGGATTATGGGATCGTTAAAAAGGTGATGATGATGGTTACAGGTAGACCTCGATTTACAACAGTTCGTTTAGTGACCGTTCGAAGTTACGACAGCCCTGAAAACAGGGACTTAGGACCGTTTTTCACACATACAACCGCAGCACCCCTTGTCAACTGGCCTGAATTTATGACGGTGGCCGTGTACCCAGGGTCACGTGAGATCACTTTTTCCAATCTTCTGATAATCCCAAGTCAAGAGAGAAGCCTGATTCACTTCACAACCGTGTGACTAACTGAACCACCGCGGTGATTCACTTAACAATCCGTGACAAGAAAAGTCGTAAAATGAGGCACACTCGCTCAACGAACGTCTCCCTTAGCAACGTAAAATTCTGGGCTCAGTTGGGCTCGTACGCCGAGCGTTACACTTTGTACTTTTTCAAGTACTCAATGCTATCGTGAGGTTGTTATTAATCTACACAAGGCCGTTCATTGGCCACGGGAGAAACGTTGGTACGTATAACCAACACAGGCCTGAAAGATTTCGAATAGCCCCTTTTCCAAAAAAAGAAAAAAAAACTAGCACGTAACAAGTTTTAAAGATGGACGTATTTGAAATATGCAGATTATCTGCTCTTCGTGCTCCATAAACTCTCACCTTCAGTTTAATATCTATGCTAATTTCCTTCTAGAAACTGCTCTGAAGCCAGCATAGCACAACTCAGCTAAGTCAGTGGTGGGCTATTGCCGGTTCAGACCGGTTCGGGCGAATCGGTAGTTCCGACCATCAGCTGGCCCCGCCCATCCCCACCCGCCTTATCCTGTCCTGTATTTCCTTCTTTCTGACTCAGCTGATTCACGCGACACAGCTGATTTCCGTGCTTCCGCTGTTCTACTTAACCAGGCTGCCTTAGAAGGTAAACAGCTGAGCTTCAACTGGTTGTATTTTGAATGCTGCAGTGTAAACGTGTTAGGCTTAAACCGGTTGCAGCCCACCACTGAGCTCGGTCTAACAGCCAACTTAGATACCTAAACCCTACAAAGCTACAATGAGTTTGCAAACCCTACAAACCTTACCAAGTAAAGATTCTTTTGATCCTGGAATGCATAGTGAAGACGAGGAATCCAAGGACTGGCATTCTGGGAGAGTATATTTCTCTCTTCCTCAAAGAAGACCTAAACCATTTTTTTTTTAAAAGAACAAAATCATTAAATTCATCAAGGGTCCGGGGGAGGAGGGGGAAACATGGATATAATTTTGAATTTTGGAGTTTGCATCAGAAACAGTCCTGCAGATCACAAGCTAGAGATGGTTTAGGGCTAATATTCCATTTGGGGACGCGGTGGCTCAGTGGGTAAGAAGCTGCACTTGTCGATCGAAAGGTCGGATATGGTAGGAATGCAGTTGTTTGGGGCACACGTAACCAACTTTTATGAAATCTGTGTTTGTTTGAACAGTGCTAGGGGGGAAATGGAGGGAAGCGATGGCTCAGTGGCTAAGACGCTGAGCTTGTCGATCGAAGGGTCGGCAGTTCAGCAGTTCGAATCCCTGGTGCCGCGTAACGGGGTGAGCTCCCGTGACTTGTCCCAGCTTCTGCCAACCAAGCAGTTCGAAAGCAGGTAAAAAATGCAGGTAGAAAAATAGGGACCACCTTTGGTGGGAAGGGAAGAGCGATCCGTGCGCCTTTGGCATTGAGTCATGCCGGCCACATGACCACGGAGACATCTTCGGACAGCGCTAGCTCTTCGGCTTTGGAACGGAGATGAGCAGCGCCCCCTAGAGTCGGGAACGACTAGCACAGATGTGCGAGGGGAACCTTTACCTTTACTAATATTCCATTTAAAGAGCTCTCAATTTTCCAACTGATGAAAAACAAAGTTTCTAGCCCCTGCGAGTGTAAGAGAGTTGAGAGTTTGCTACTACCATGTTTCCCCAAAAATAAGAGCCTGCCTTATATTTTTTTTTTGAACCCTGAAATAAGCGCTTGGACTAAATGCCATGCGCTCAAAAGCCTTGATTGGGCTTATTATCAGGGGATGTCTTATTTTGGGGGAAATGGGGTAACACGGCTAAATACACTCCTCAGTCCTAACAAAAGGGTTTTGCCCCTTTTGGAAGGATTTGTGTTGTGGTCCGCCCGCAGCCTGTGAAGCTGGCAGCGGAGTTGGAGAGCGATGAGGCTGAGGAAGAACAGGGGCCAGTCCTGGAGGCTGGGGAAGGCCCGGATGAGGGCTCTGCGTCGGAGGCAGAGATGGGGCCAGGGCCATCGGGGAGCGATATGCAGACTTCAGAGCCTCCAGAGGCTGACATCAGAGAGGCAGAGGAACAGGAGGAGCCTGTTCCTAGTGCACGTATGAGAAGAGCTGCCAGAAGGCAGGAGCAGATAAAGCAAAAAGGACGACTAGGGAGTAAGGCCAAGAGATGATTGGCCCCTCCTATAAGGCTTAAAAGACCAGCAACGGCTCTTGGCCTCTTTGCCGGAAAACAACGTTGATAGTCTTGCTGCACTTATCTCTTGTCGGCGTCTTCTGCTTTTGAGCGAAGCCTTTGGCAGTTTGCCTAATTATACCAAGGTTGGTGATTAGACTGAAGAATTTATGTTATGAAGAATTTGCTTTCATTTAGTTTGGACTACGCTGAGAATGAGTTAATTCTCAGCTGTTCTAATAAAGTCTGTTTGTTTTGGAACTGTTTGCGTCGATTACTACCTACTTGGGTTACAAGAGTTTGGAAAATCAGGACACATACAGAAGCCTTGGGCTGCATTGACACAATGCAACTTTTGCCAGAGTGTCGCAGCTGATCCCCCCCCCCAATCCTCCCATCTGTCCTAGAAGGACAAAACAGAACATTTTATATCAAGCCCGTCTGTACTTTTGACAGGTACCCTAGGGAGACGCCAAGGACTGGATTTGCAAATTTCCTGCAACGGCTATTAAACCTCTGCGGTTAGAAAATCCTCCCACCGAACAGGGGCGTACCTGCTCTTGTGCCAGCAGTGCCTCCTTGCTCATCACCTTCATGGCGTAAATGTCACCGGTCGCCTTCTCTTTCACCACCTGGACGTCGGCAAAACGGCCGCATCCTATCGGACTCCGGATTTCAAAATCTTTCAGGCTGGGTTGAAGTTCCCGGAACTCCGTTATTGAATCTGAATCTGCAGAAGATCAGGAAGGCAGGGGAAGTGGTGGCGAAGAAGGAACAAGTCAACTTGTAAGTGTTTCTTGACTTCGACAGCTCTAAGATGCGTGGACTTCAATTCCCAGAATTCCCCAGCCAGCAGAGGCTGAGAAAGACTGCATTCGTTGCCTGGGTTGAATTTTACCGAATCAATCCTGTTTTCACCCGTAGTACTGCTTTTATATCCTTTATGTCAGGGGTGTCAAACTGAAGGTCCGGGGCCCAGATCTGGGCCACGGGGTGCTTAGATCTGGCCTGCGGTGCCACTCTGGAAACGGTGAAGAACCGGTCCGCGGTGCCTCTGCCAGAGAAAATGGAGCCCGGGAGGGCCGCACTTTTCTCTGGCAGAGGGCTAGCAAAACAAATTAAGTACACAACAAAAGGAGAAATGTTTCCCCTTTTGCATTTAAGCACCCAGGAAGGCACAGGAAAGGAGAAAAGGAAAAGAGGAAAGACAAAGAAACAGATGGGAAGAGAAGCAAGGAAAGTAAAAGAAGGGGAGAGGGGAAGGAAGAAGAAAAGAGAATGAAGAGGGAAGGAAAAGGAAGGAAGGAAGGAAGGAAGGATTAAGAGAAGAGAAAAATTGAAAGAAATAAAGAGAAAATAAGACCAAGGAAGGAAGGATTAAGAGGAGAAAAATTGAAAGAAATAAAGAGAAAATAAGACAAAGAAGGAAGGAAGGAAGGATTAAGAGAGGAGAAAATTGAAAGAAATAAAGAGAAAATAAGACAAAGGAAGGAAGGATTAAGAGGAGAAAAATTGAAAGAAATAAAGAGAAAATAAGACAAAGGAAGGAAGGAAGGAGGAAGGATTAAGAGAGGAGAAAATTGAAAGAAATAAAAATAAGACAAAGGAAGGAAGGAGGAAGGAAGGAAAGATTAAGAGAAGAGAAAAACTGAAAGAAATAAAGAGGAAATAAAACAAAGGATGAAAGGAGGAAGGATTAAGAGAGGAGAAAAATTGAAAGAAATAAAGAGAAAATAAGACAAAGGAAGGAAGGAAGGATTAAGAAAGGAGAAAAATTGAAAGAAATAAAGAGAAAATAAGACAAAGGAAGGAAGGAAGGAAGGAAGGAAGGAAGGAAGGAAGGAAGGAAGGAAGGAAGGAAGGTTATAATGAGAGGGAGGAAGGGTCTGAGGGAAGTCCTGTTTTAGCACTTGGCCACCACAGGTACCCCCGACACGAGTGACGTCGAGCTGGCCACGTCCACCCCGGCTCCCCGAGGTCAACCACAGCCTTGATGTGGCCCTACTAATCAGCTTATCAAATCGTAGTAGGAAACAAATAAAACCAATATAAATTGAAAGATACAAGCAACCTGGTTATAGTCGTTAAGTGGGAAGAGAGAGATACTAGTAAGGAAGAGAAGAAGAATAGTTAATACAGTCTCGGTAAAGGATTTGACAGAAGCTCTTAAGAGGAAGTGAACAAGACATACGCTTCTTGAAAAAATTGCCCGCGTGTTTGGTTTCCATCCGCAGAGGACTTCTGCCTTCCTCATACAGCACCATAAGGGAGTCGAGAATGCCTTCTCTTGAGAACGGAGACATCTGCTGTTGTGCCAGGGACGGGAACTTCCCCTGAAAACAAAAACAGCTCTTAGTGAAACAGGAACAGAGGAGTCGTATTTATACCACAATTCATAAACGGTCCTATTTTAGGAACGTGTTATGCAGTACACCGGGTCACTGCAGGGGTATATAATAGCCAGGGGTGGGGCTGCTGGGGGTTCGGGAGAACCTCTAGCTAAGATTCTGTGCAGTTCGGAGAACCCCCAAATCCCACTCCCGGCTGGCCCCACCCACCATGCCCGGCCTCTCCCAGGAATCCCCACGCGGCTGTTTTGGATACAGGTAAGTGAGGAGCGCGTGCGGAGGCTCGGGGAGGGTGAAAAACGGACCTACCAGAAATTCGGGAAGGCCAGTTTCCGGCCTCCAAAGGGCCTCCGGAGCCTGGGGAGGCCGTTTTCACCCTCCCGGAGGCTCGACAAAAGCCTCCGGAGCCCAGGGAGGGCAAAAACACCCCCCCCCGAGCCATGGTGTAGGAGGCCGACTAGGCCACACCCACCATGGCCACACCCACCATGGCCACACCCACCCAGCAACTGGGCAGAGAACCCCTTGCTAAAATTTTTGAAGCCCCACCCCTGATAGGCAATTTCTTTTTCACTTTTACAGGAAAATTTTGGGATCTACGGGAAAATTTACAGGAAAATTTGGGGAAGGGGAAGGGAGCAAGGGATGGAAAACGCATCCCGATGCCCAATCTGCAATTCCAATGTAGGCATCAGACGTCAAGGTGCCACTAGGTAAGGGCAGGCTCTGTGCTGCGAGGTCACCCCGACTGTGTTGTTGCCTTGATGCCTTCTCGGATATGTGGCTTGCTGCTGAACTACAACTCCCATCCTCCTTCCCACGGGGAGTGTTGTGGTCCGTCAGCAGCCTGCGGAGCTGGCAGCTCCGAAACAAAGGCACTTTGGGGGCCTTTTGCAGGAAAGCAAGGTTGCTAACTCTGTTTCCAGTCGGCATCTCTTGTTTGTTTCTGAACTCCGTGGGGCTTTGCCAAGTAAGGCCTTTGGCAGGATGTCAAAAAAGATAAAGGTTGGTGATTATCCCGAAGGACCTCTTCCGAAGGACTTGTTTTGCAACTAATTGGGACTCAGCAGGGAATGAACGTAATTCTCAGCTGTTACAATAAAATAGGTTTGTTTGGGACTAATTGTGTCTTGTAATGACTCGGTAAGCCTTAGTCACAACATAATAGTCTAATTCGAAACCAAATAGCGGAGTTTTTTTTTAAGCAGGGTTAGTTTTTACTGACACCTGAGTGCCTAGGTCAAAGCCAATCAGTTGAAACAATAAGAAAAGATGTTCCACGACTGCATTAACTTGTCAGCCAATGGAACAGCCTGCCACATGAAGCGGTGAGTCGGACTCAAAGAGGGCAGGTTGAACAGGAAACCAATTCACAAGCAAAGTTACCTGAAGCAGCAGGTTAAGGCGAGAAGCCCGGCTGGCAATAGAGTCCATTGTGCCCAGTTCTGCTGAATGGGGTGTTGCATATTTAAATTTTAGCATCGTTATCTGCAGAAAAAAAAACAGCCCTGCTTAGATAGAACCTGTAGTACAAAATCTCTATTAAAAGATTAACAACACACCAAAAAGAAGATGTAAGATTGTTGGCTCTTTTAGTTCTGGAAACCTTCTTACATTCTACTTTTAATCGTTTTAAAAGCGGTTTGGTCTAATAGTTAAGGTACCAAGGTAGCCACTTCCACCTTAGGCGTGGAAGTGGCTAAGTGACTTTGAGCCAGTCATTCTGCATTCAGTTTTGGTCACCATGATGTAAAAAAGATGTTGAGACTCTGGAAAGAGTGCAGAGAAGAGCAACAAAGAGATTAGGGGACTGGAGGCTAAAACATACGAAGAATGGTTGCAGGAACTGGGTATGTCTAGTTTAATGAAAAGAAGGACCAGGGGAGACAGGATAGCAGTCTTCCAAATATCTCAGGGGCTGCCACAGAGAGGAAGGGGGTCAAACTATTCTCCAAAGCACCTGAGGGCAGGACAAGAAGCAACGGGTGGAAACTCATCAAGGAGAGAAGCAACTTGACAGTGAGAACAATAAATCAGTGGAACCACTTGCCTCCAGAAGTTGTGAATGCTCCAACACTGGAAGTTTTTAAGAAGATGTTGGACAACCATTTGTCTGAAGTGGTGTAGGGTTTCCTGCCTAAGCAGGAGGTTGGACTAGAAGACCTCCAAGATCCCTTCCAACTCTGTTATTCTATTCTATTCTATTCTATTCTATTCTATTCTATTCTATTCTATTCTATTCTATTCTATTCCATTCCATTCCATTCCATTCCATTCCATTCCATTCCTATTCTCTATTCTATTCTATTCTTTTCTATTCTCAGGCATCCCACAGGTTAGTTGTTGTTGTGGGGAAAACAGTGAAGGAAGGATTATTGTAGGTGTTCACCCTGAGTTATTTATAAAAATAATGAAGGCAGATTAAAAAAAAAACAACTACTAAAAGGCAACTCAGCCAGCATACACTGAAAATAAAGATTTCATAAACGATATTGTTTGATTAATAGGCAACAACTCCAAGGAATCTTATTACTGAATATATCAGTTTATAATCGCTCCTCTCAGGCCCATAAGGCAACCAGCAATCCAATGGTAACGCACAACCATTTAAAGCCCCCCCAAGGAAAAAAAAATGATCGCTAAAATGATTTTCCTCCCAGCTCAAAGAGCTCGGCTGAAGAAAGACATCACTCGGTTGTCAGGGATGAATGCGATCCTTGCTTCCACGGTTTGACGCTCAGAAGGGACATAAAAGTTATCAAACCCTGACTTTAAACCACAAGTGGCTTTCCTGGCCCCGTTCTTTCTTGTTCCCTCTGGTCTGACGGATCAGCCATTAGCAAGATGTCAGAGACAGAGAGAGAGAGAGAGAGAAATGATGGTTTTAAGGCAGCTGGTAGCAACGCTGGGACAGTCGTTGCGATGACAATCAACCTCCCCAGTTTTTTCCGCTGCTGGGGTGAAGATGCTCCCTTTCCTTGACCAAGGAAGATGGGGAAGTTATGGGCCTCCTGCGCCATCCAAAAAAATAAAATTAGAATGGAATGGAATGGAGTGGAGTGGAATAGAATAATAGACTAAAGTTACTCTACTTTGGTGTGGAGTGGAGTTGAGTGGAATGGGCTGGAAGGAAAGGGAAGGGAGGGGAGGGGAGAGGAGAGGAAAAGAGAAAAGTTGGAAGGGACCTTGGAGGTCCTCTAGTCCAACCCCCTGCTCAGGCAGGAAACCCTGGCCTATACCTTTTCAGACAAATAACCTACCCTTTGGAACAGGTTACCCCCAGGGATACGAATGATCCCAGATCTTCGTACTTTCCGTCGTGCACTTAAGACCTTTCTATTTCACCAAACCGGGCTGGCATAAATCTCTTCTAATTTTCCTAAATCTTTATGTTGAAAATTCTTAACCGATCACACTTTATATGTATGTTATTTTAACTGTTCACCGCCCTGAGTCCTTCAGGAGAAGGGCGGTATAGAAATTGAATGAATGAATGAATGAATAAATAAATAATAAATAAATAAATAAATAAATGGCTGTCCAATCTCTTCTTAAAAACTTCCAGTGTTGGAGCATTCACAATTTCTGGAGGCAAGTTGTTCCACTGATTCATTGTTCTAACTGTCAGGAAATTTCTCCTTAGTTCCAGGTTGTAAGTCAAGGACTACCCGTATGGGAGGGGTACATGTGATGAAACAAAACAAAGAGGTGCCTTATTTGAGGATATTTATAACCCATTCCAAACCCAGCCTATTCAAGGCAAGATACAAGAGCAAAACAAACAGTAACAAGGAAAATAATCCAAAACAAACATCATGAGTATGTGAAAAGTAAACAAATGGAATAGAGGGGAGGGAAGGGGAGAACAGAACAGAAACAAGATGGAAGTAGAGAAGGAAGGAAGGGAGAACAGAAGAAAGAAGTAGGGAAGGAAAGAAGGGAAACAGAAGAAAGAAGTAGGAAAGGAAGGAAGGGAGAACAGAAACAAGAAAGAAGTAAGGAAGGGAGACAGAAGAAAGAAGTAGAGAAGGAAGGAAGGGAGAACAGAAGACAGAAGTAGGGAAGGAAGGAAGGGGAGAACAGAAGACAGAAGTAGGGAAGGAAGGAAGGGAGAACAGAAACAAGAAAGAAGTAAGGAAGGGAGAACAGAAGAAAGAAGTAGAGAAGGAAGGAAGGGAGAACAGAAGAAAGAAGTAGGGAAGGAAGGAGGGAGAACAGAAGACAGAAGTAGGGAAGGAAGGAAGGGAGAACAGAAACAAGAAAGAAGTAGAGGAGGGAGAACAGAAGAAAGAAGTAGAGAAGGAAGGGAGAACAGAAGAAAGAAGTAGGGAAGGAAGGGAGAACAGAAACAAGAAAGAAATAGAGGAGGGAGAACAGAAGAAAGAAGTAGAGAAGGAAGGGAGAACAGAAACAAGAAAGAAGTAGAGAATAGAGGGTAGGGTAGGGTAGAGTAGAGTAGTCTTCATGGCCAAGTGTGATTGAACACACAAGGAATTTGCTTCCCGTGCATAAGCTCTCAGTGTACACACTTACAACAGCAAAGCCAGAGATCATAAATCCTAATGCAGTTATGAGCTAACGATATCAGAACAGGCTTTCCCCACCCTCTAATATGGACTGAACCAATTATTACGGTGTACAATTCTTCACGGATTTATACAGGTCGTCCTCAACTTACGACCACAAACCAGCCTCAGGATTTTAGGCTGCTAAGTGAGACATTTGTGAAGCGGCCCCATTTTTACCACCTTTTCCCCTCCACCGTCGTTAAGCGAGTGAATTCCTTGCAGTCGTTAAAAGTGAAGGAGGGGCTGGACAGCCACTCGTCTGACAGTGGGGCTGGACTAGATGACCTCCCAAGGTCCCTTCCAACTCTATTCTTGGTTTTTTTTTCCTGTTGTTCTGTTGGCTCAGGACACCTGAGAACTGGGGTTTTCTGCATTCTGTTGCATTCCACTAGAATAGGACTTATTCCATGCGGGAAAAGCGGGAAGCAGCACCTCTGAGCATGTGCAGAGAGCCCCCTTGGGCAGGGCAGCACCACGCGCCCCCGCGCTTCCCTCAACGGAGGCTTACTCGCTCCCAGCGCCCAGTTCCCAGCTCCCAGCGTCCGCCGCCTCCTCGGAAGCGAGGACCCCCGAGCTCCTTCAGCGACCGCCCGCCGCGACGACCCGCCTCGCCGCTCCCGCCATCGGCGTTTGAACGGGGCTTAAAGCCCCGCCCCAGTCTTCGCCCCGCCCTCCCTCTCAGCTCCTCCCACCCGCAGGACACGTCATCCGCGCTCTCCGCCAATCCCCGGCGTGGGTGACGTCACCGAGGGAGGGGGAGAGGGCGCGCGAGCCCGCCTGCGTGCGTGCGTGGCCCGCGTGCTGCTGACGCGTCTCTGGGGCGTGGCCAAGCGAGCCCAACGGTCAATGGGGAGGGGCGGCCGGGGGGAGGTCACGTGTCCCACGAAAGTCCCGCGTGGCAGGCTGCGTTCGCACGACGTGTGTTGCGTGTTCGGATGCTTTTTTTTTTTTTCTTGCTTTTTTTTTTTTTTTCTTGACCTGTTGGCTCCGGGTGTTCACCAAACCATAGGGAGCCGTCGTGACGAATGGTTTGCCAGCAGGGAGGAGAGGACAGGAGAGGACCTTAAAAGGTCATCTAGTCCAACCCCCCCCCCCTTGCTCAAGCAGGAGTGCACAAGCATGCACACGTTAAGGCAAAAACCAAGCCAGGCAGTGCAGGGCTCCGGCGAAAATGGATCCTGAATGTTCTGTCATTATTATTTAGAACTAATAAATGAATAATATAAACGAATAATTATTATTAGCTGCCTGTCTCACCTTGAAATGACTCTGGCCAGCTTACAGTGTTAAAAAGAATAAAAGAATACATACATAAATACATACATATAATATATATATATTATATATATATATATATATATATATATATATAAGATATAAGACAAACAGATGATGATAAATATAGAAATCTGAAATAAATAAATAAATAAATAATAGATATAGATGATAGGAAGATAGATGAATGATATAAGGTAGATAAGATGATACAAGACATGATAGATAAACATAGATATAGATGATAGGAGATAGGAAGATAGGAAGAATGATACAAGGTAGATAAGATGATATAAGAGATGATGATAGATAAATATAGATATAGATGATAGGAGATAGATAGGAAGATAAGAATGATATAAGGTAGATAAGATGATATAAGACAAACATGATGATGGATAAATATAGATATAAATGATGGATGGATGGATGATATAAGGTAGATAAGATGATACAAGACAGAGATGATAGATAAATATAGATATAGATGATAGATAGGTAAATAGATGGATGATAGAAAGATAGATGAATGATATAAGATAGATAAGATGATATAAGACATGATAAATATAGATATAGGTAGATGGATGATAGGAAGATAGATGAATGATACAAGGTAGATAAGATGATACAGATGATAGATATAGATATAGATGATAGGAGATAGATAGGAAGATAGGAAGAATGATATAAGGTAGATAAGATGATACAAGACAGATGATGATAGATAAATATAGATGATAAGTGATAGATAGGAGATAGATGGATAGATAGATAGATAGATATAGAGATATTTATACACACATACACACAACAATAAGAATTAGCCCTTTTTAAAGCTTGGTATATTGCCTTCCATCCTATGTTAATCAAAGCTGGGTTCCTGCAACACGTTTATTAAGTAAATTAATGCACTAATACATTTCGATTCGTGCCATTTATTTGTATTAATGCACTCCACTTAACAACAGTTCGCTTAGCGACCGTTGGAAGTTACAACAGCATTGGAAAAAAGTGAGTTATTGACCGTTCCCAAGCGGTCTTGCAAGGAATATCAATGCTTCCGTTCTCCTCCATCCGGTCAGAACTGAAGAATCTTCTTGGGTGAGAAGCGAAACGTCTTCAAAAGGAAAAAAAAAAAAAAAAGTCCAGTGGCCTCTGGGGGGGAAGAAAAAGCACCTTTGAGACTCCAAGCTAATAGCGCATTTAACTCCTCCCCTCCCCACCTCTGCTTGCTCTTCTCCTACAAGCTGGGCTGTCACCTGTGTGTCTCGCCTGCTTTGTGATGTCACAACAGCTGGACCCCTCCCTGCCCTTGCCCACTGTCCCTTGGCAGCAGAAGAGCATGGGAAGTTAAAAGAGGCTGACACACCTGTCCTTCAGTCTCGCAGAATCATGGCCAACCTTCCGCACAAAGAGTGCCCCAACGCCGAATACATGGTCCCGGTGACCATGATGTCGCCGGACATCGACTGGATGCATTGCCCAGCCGGCCTCTGCAAAGTCAGCCTGTTTGATGACAAAGTCCAAACCGACAAGCAACGGAAGCTGGTTTGTTTCGTCGACGTCTCCAGCCTGAACGCCAAGGATCAAGGCCGGGATTCGCTGTCCGCTTCCGGGGAGCTCGGTGGCATCGAGGCTCCGGATGGAATCGATCTAGGGGAGAGGGAGATCGTGGTCATCCGTGACGAGAAGAAGGGCTTGTCCAACACCGAAGGCTCCGTGTGTTTTTTCAAGCAAAGCTCCTGCGAGAAAGGAGACGTGACCAATTGGCTCAACAGAGACCTGCAGAAATACGCCGTCGGGTTCCAACATGCTCTCAACCCTACGAAAGGACCCGGGAAAAACCTGCCTTGCGAGGCGGAACAGAGGTCGGTTCAGAATGGACCGGCTCCTTTCAGCTGTTCTGGCGCCTAAAAAAAAAGAAGCCTCGGGACTCATGCCCGTCCGCGAGGAAGTTGCATCTTTGGACCTTCAGAAGACATGCAAAGAGATCAAAGAAGATGGTCAATAAATTTTTTTTGTAAATGAACGCTGGAGTGAGGCTGTCATTGCTGTCGGGGTTAGAGACCAGCCGTGGTGGCGCAGTGGTCAGAATGTGGTACTGCAGGATAATTCTGCTGACTGCCGGCAGTTCGATCCTGACTGGCTCAAGGCTGACCCTTCCTTCCTTCCTTCCTTCCTTCCTTCCTTCCTTCCTTCCTTCCTTCCTTCCTTCCTTCCTTCCCAGTGGTTAGAATGCAATATTGCAGGCTAATTCTGCCAACTGCCAACAGTTCAATCCTGACCAGCTCAAGGCTGATCCTTCCTTCCTTCCTTCCTTCCTTCCTTCCTTCCTTCCTTCCTTCCCAGTAGTTAGAATGCAATATTGCAGGCTAATTCTGCCAACTGCCAGCAGTTCAATCCTGACCAGCTCAAGGCTGACCCACCCTTCCTTCCTTCCTTCCTTCCTTCCTTCCTTCCTTCCTTCCTTCCTTCCTTCCTTCCTTCCTTCCTTCCCAGTGGTTAGGATGCAATATTGCAGGCTAATTCTGCCAATCCTGACCGGCTCAAGGCTAACTGAGCCTTTCGTCCTTCCGTGGTCGGTAAAATGACCTATGATAGTGACATGCGACCGTTTTTCACAGGACCGTTGCAACATCCCCACATGGGTCACGTGATTAAAATTCAGATGCTTGACAATTGACTCATATTTATGACCTTTTCCAGTATTTTTCTACTTGCATTTTTTTTTAACGTGCTTTCCAACTGCTAGATGGGCAGAAGCTGGGACAAGTCACGGGAGCTCACCCCGTTACGCGGCACCCGGGATTCGAACCGCTGAACTGCCGACCTTTCGATCGACAAGCTCAGCGTCTTAGCCCCTGAGCCACCACGTCCCTTTAAATTAATTAGACTGTAGCAATTTTGGGCTCAGTCATGGTCGCAAGCCAAGGACTGCCTATATCTCCTTTTTTTTTTTTTAGCTCTGGAGCAAATGCTCTATTGCTAAAAAAAACTCGAGCAAAACCAGAGACCCAAATATCTTTTATTCTGAATTCAAGCTGAATTCAAGCTTTTGGTCTCTCTCCCTCTCTCTCTCTCTCTCTTTCTCTCTCTCTCTGTATGTATTGGCTTCTCTCCTCCCCTCAAGTCACTGCACTTATTTCTATCTTTGGAAAGACTTGGCAATGGCCTCCTACGCCTTATTTTATTTTCCTTCCCCAAATTAGTAATTATGTGCTGTTGGCTTTGTCAGACTTGGCCCTGAAATCTTTCTTTTCTTTTCTTTTTTTAATAATTTCTGCAAAAAATAAATTCTTGGTCTGTGTGTCTCTCGTTTCATCCATTGTTCGTCTGCTGACACTTGTTTTTAGACTCTCATTTACAAGGATGTATATTTGGGGGATTTTCGAAAAGTAATTAATGTTCTGGCAGCGATTAGAAGCAAGGAGAGAAACATGTAATAACAAAAAGTGGCTTTATATTTGGTCAATGTTCAATGGTTGCGTACTCGGCATGGACTGAAGCACGAATGCCATCGAGCGATTCGTTAATGGGGGTTGTTTACAAAAACCACAATCGCCTGGCATCGGAGATTGTGGCCGAACCATAAACTCTGATTTACAAGCTTTCTGGAGGAGGGGTCTCCAACCTTGGCAACTTTAACCCTGGTGGACTTCAACTCCCAGAATTCCCTAACCGGCTGGGGAATACTGGGAATTTATTTATTTTTTTAATTTGATTTATATGCCGCCCTTCTCCGGAGACTCAGGGTGGCTTACAGTGCGCTAAGCAATAGCCTTCATACTTTTGTATATTTATATAAAGTCATCTTATTGCCCCCACAATCCGGGTCCTCATTTTATCTACCTTAGAAAGGATGGAAGGCTGAGTCAACCTTGAACCTGGTGAGATTCGAACTTGCAGTAATTGCAGGCAGCAGATGTAAGTGGATGTTAATAACAGTGCTTTAGTCTGCTGAGCCACCAGAGCTCCTGAGTTGAAGTCCTCCAGGCTTAAAATTGCTAGGGTTGGGGACTCCTGTTCTGGAGGATGCCTTCCCAGCTCTGTTGAACTTCAACTCCCAGAATTCTCAGTGAGCGAACTGGGAGGCATCACATGACACCTTCGAAGAGTTATCATTGGCTCCTTCAACAGGTTTTTACAACATCCTTTGTAAACTCTAGCCCTTGGGACCAGAATTTCCGTTGCTAAGCCAAACGGTCGCTAACCAAATCACACCCAATTTTATGACCCTTTTGCCATGGTGGTGACATAGATCACTGCCCGTTGTTAAGCGAATCGCGCAGTCTTTAAACAAGTCGGGTGTCAGCGTTCCAGAAAA